AAGATTCAAGAAATGTTCCATATGCACAAAAAGCTTATTTCTCTCAAATTCTGTGCACACATTTGTTTACATCCCTGTTAGTGAGCATTTCTCCATTGCCAAGATAATCCATCCACTTGACAGGTGTGGCATATCAAGAAGCTGATTAAACAGCATGATCATTAGACAGGTGCACCTTGTGCTGGGGACAATAAAAGGCCACTCTAAAATGTGTAATTTTGTCACAACACAATGCCACAGATGTCTCAAGTTTTGAGGGAGCGTGCAATTGGCATGCTGACTGCAGGAATGTCCACCAGAGCTGTTGCCAGAGAATTTAATGTTAATTCTCTACCATAAGCCGCCTCCAACATTGTTTTAGAGAATTTGGCAGTACGTCCAACCGGCCTCACAACCGCAGACTACGCCAGCCCAGGATCTCCGCATCCAGCTTCTTCACCTGCAGGATCGTCTGAGGCCAGCCACCTGGGCAGCTGATGAAACTGTGGGTTTGCACAACCGAAGAATTTCTACACAAACTGTCAGAAACAGTCTCAGGGAAGCTCATCTGCTTGCTCGTCGTCCTCACCAGGGTCTTGACCTGACTGCAGTTCGGCATCGTAACCGACTTCAGTGGCCACTGGCACGCTAGAGAAATGTGTTCTTCACGGATTAATCCCAGTTTCAACTATACCGGCAGATGGCATCATGTGGGCGAGCGGTTTGCTGATGTCAACGTTGTGAACAGAGTGCCCCATGGTGGTGGAGGGGTTATGGTATGGGCAGGCATAAGCTACGGACAACGAACACTATTTCATTTTATCGATGGCAATTTGAATGCGCAGAGATACTGTGACAAGAACCTGAGGCCCACTGTCGTGCCATTCATCCGCCGCCATCACCTCATGTTTCAGCATGATAATGCATGGCCCAATGTCGCAAGGATCTGTACACAATTTCTGCAAGCTGAAAATGTCCCAGTTCTTCCATGGCCTGCATACTCCTGACATGTCACCCATTGAGCATGTTTGGGATGCTCTGGATCGACGTGTACGACAGCGTGTTCCAGTTCCCGCCAATATCCAGCAACTTCACACAGCCGTTGAAGAGGAGTGAGACAACATTCCACAGGCCACAATCAACAGCCTGATCAACTCTATGCGAAGGAGATGTGTCGCGCTGCATGAGGCAAATGGTGGTCACACCAGATACTGACTGGTTTCCTGAGCCACACCTCTACCTTTTTTTAAGGTATCTGTGACCAACAGATGCATATCTGTATTCCCAGTCATGTGAAATCCATAGATTAGGGCCTAATGAATTCATTTCAATTGACTGATTTCCTTATATGAACTGTAACTCAGTAAAATCTTTGGAATTGTTGCATGTTGCATTTATATTTTTGTTCAGTGTAATTCACATCCTAGCAGTCCTCATCAATCACGTTCCTCTCACAATATACACCCTGGCCATAATGTGTTGGCTTTCGGCTGTGAGAACAGCTTCACCACAGTGAGTAGGGCTAGGCTGTGATTTATGCTGATAAAGGCCTAGTAGTCATTAATGTTATCTGGAGAAGTGCTGCCAGCCTAGGCCAAAACCTCATCCCTTATCAGCCATGCGTTCTCTTTTCCCCGGGAAAGGAGGAGCACGGCCCTGGCCTGCACTCTCTCCCACATCCCCTGTAGTTCTGCAAGACTACAATGCAATTATACAGCTGGAACCGCTCACTGCTCAATATTCCCAAAATGGGATTTCACTTTGATGATGAATATTCCCATAGTTGTAGACCAGCATGAACCATACGTTTTCTGGTCAGAAATGTCTTCTGATCTCATGACAAATAATAATTGTGTAATTAGCTGGAAGTACAATTACACATGTACACAATGTTGCATAACTCATTGCTTGGTTAAAGTTGGGTGGAAATGATCATTATTTTTGGTATACAATTTAAGCTCTGAATGAATATGCGGTCTTTGACAAATGAGATGCTCCAAGGTTACACAAATAACCTCTTTGGCCCCTGTGAATGTCACATGTGAAGTGACCACAACTCCATATCATACTTATCTAAATTACATAGTGGATCATACAGAAGCTGCTGAAAGTGTGTGTGGCAGAAGAAGAGGGCGGGCCAGTCCCTGGGGAGGCCTGCCTCTCTTTACAGTTGTCTCTTATCCAAATGTTCTGGGTGGAGCAGCAGAGAGTGTGTTAAAATGTGACTGTGTTAAACAGTGACTGCTCCTTTTACAACACAGAGCCTCTCATAATTCCCATAATATAAAGGCTTGCTACATTTCATTGTACTTTACATATAGAGTTTGGCACAGTCTGAAAATGACCTAGGGTTTATCAGTTGTCTGGGGTGAGATAACTGTGTTTACAGTATTGTGGTACGTTAAGCTTATTGCCTGCTCTATTGTGACAGTGTAATAAAAACCATGTGCTCACAATCACTGCAATAGAAGGACAATGGGAAGACAATGAAGAGTGTTAGTGGAGTAACAAGAAAATGGATGGAGTATTGTGTATTAGTAATAAAGTTCTAAATGTGTCTTCCCTCCACAGTGGTGCTCTCTCTGCTGGCCTGTCTGAGCTCCCCTGTCTGTGAGGTGAGGAGTGCAGCCACAGCCACCCTACAGACCCTGGCCCAGGTGGACATCTCTCCCTTTTACACCATCATCGACAGGCTGCTGAGGACCTCCGCTCATCGCTGACCCCACTCACCGCAGACACACACCCACACAGTCCATAATTAATATACTATTATATATTGTCCATAATGTCTATACACACCATCATATACATATATATTTATATTCCGGACTCTGACTCTACTCGTTCTAATATTTATATATTTCTTAATTCCTTTCTTTACATTTTTTGGATTTGCGTGTATTGTTCGGTAGCTATTACTGCACTGTCGGAGCTAGGAACATTAGCATTTAGCTACACCCGCGATAACTTCTGCAAAGTATGTGTACACAACCAATAACATTTTATTTGATTTTGACACACACACGTAAGAACAACCCATTAGTCACATATACAAGCTTGGAAGTCAACCTTTATTAATACTGTTAAAAGAAACATAGAAACTATGAATACGTCTTTCCATATTTGTTTCAGTACTCCCATTAATACATGAAAAACAATGGTTAACATGTAAAACAATGGTTAACATTTAGCTTCTCAGAGCTTTTTCTCAGAACACTGCTCCACAAAGGTCCTGATGGTCATTCTGAAGCATAGAGATAAAAACTACATAATAACGAGGTGTATATAATGTTGTTGCTTGCTCCTCTAACTATTGTATGCCATTACTTGAGTCGGGTGCTCTTATAAAAGCCATAAATCCAGTCAATGAAATGGAGGACGTTCACCATTGTCAAAAAGCAGAACTTGTATATTACACTTGGGTGCCTTCAAGCTTTATTTGTGTTATTGAACCAATAAAAACAAACTAAATGCATGCACCTCTTAATCATCATCCATCATCATCATCATCATCCTCCTGAACAGCTTTCAGCAGTGCTACAAAATATCAAAGGAATATTGTAACACAATGGTATTATAGAACATAATCAAATTTAAGTACATTATACAAAGAGAGTAGAAAAATCTAAGTAGAAAAATCCAGAAAGGTACTGTATGTAATAAGTTTATAATAGTGTTCCTCAACCTTTGTCTGTACCAAGGACTGGCATGCTAGTTTTCTTCCTTTGGGGACTTGATTCAATCGGTGTTGGTTCATGGAAAAATCACTCAGATTTCACCATGTGCTATAGCCTTTTGATAAAGGACAGTTGCACTAAGGAAGCAATATTCCATGACCTAGTGCCGGACTATAGACCAATGGGGTTGAGAAACACTGTCGTATGAAGTTGCGTGAATAGTTTGTTTACATGCACAGTGTCCGTCTTTGTCAGTGGACACCTTTGTCGTATTCAAGTACCCTCCTCTAGGTCTGGGGGTTAATAAATTAGAGACGCGGTGAACTGCCCTGCAGTTGCAATGTGATTGTGATCAAAAACAAAAGGTAAACGATACAATGTATCAAAGTAAAGTACAGTTTTGGGAATGTTAAAACTTTATGAGAGACAATGACCTCACTTTGGTTGTTTGATTTGAGAGGTTCATGATTCAAAAGTGATAAAAATAAACAAACGAAAGAATGAAAACTAAAATAATGCTATATCTGAACTGCATTCAATGTGCACAAATACCAATATTAACTTAGGTAAACCTGGGTTCACCCTCAGATATCGACCAACAAAGTGTTTAAAAATGTCGGATTTTGTCGATACACACATCTTCTATGCTACGTATGATTCTCAATTTACTCATTCAGGGGACGTAAAAAATATATACACATTTTACGTGTTCAGTCCATATCAAAAGTGTCTCAGTGTCAACCTATGCTTATACGCCTATGGCTTCCGGCAACACTACCAAATGGGTTTCTCAATGGGAATATGGACTAACCCACATGGGCTAAAACTGGCTTTCTCAGTCTGTGTAAACTCATTTGGACATGAGAAAAAAACGTAATCAAGCCTGTGCCATGTATTGTTGACCCTCTATACAATTTGCACTTATGAAATATTTCAATTTACAAAAGAGAGATGTAAAAAGCTACATGTAAATATTCACAAAAGAGAGATGCAAAAAGCTAATCTAGATTGGTTTGACAGCAGGTTCGTCATCCTAGAAAAAATCCAATCCTTGTTGTTGAAAGTAAATCGACTCAGTGATGACTAAAGCCACACAAATGCCCAGTCTACTCTACTGTCACCTTGACACTTACCATCATGGGATACTCAGTAGTTGATAAACAAATTTCATCCATTGCAGTATTTTTCCTCCAATGACTACATCTTTTGCTGTCCAGCAACAAACCATTACATCTCCTGCTAATTTCACCCCATCTCCAATAAATACTATGTTTATTTTTGGTTGAGGGAGCATCTTTGGCAGTGGGACTATTGCTTTATTGGAGTGGGGTCCCTAAATCGCTCTCATGGTCTGTTGTTGGGGCACGGTGGGGGGCGTGAGGGAGGGGGGCAGGGGGGCCCTGGGGGGGTGCGGGAGGGGGGTGGCCCCGGGGGTAGCTGGCTGACGGGCGGTGCTCGCGGGGGCGGGCTGGCCTGTGCTGGCGGCGGTGTAGTGGGGCGGATCAGGGGACGATAGTCCGGAGCAGGGGGGCTATGGGCCCGAGGAGGGGCCTTCGCTGCTGCTGCCGCTGCCTCATCTTTCACCCGGGTGAAGTTGATGCATCGACCCTGGGGGAAAGAGACCGTAACATCAGATTACATGGTGATCAATGTCCTAAAAGTCAGGAGGTATACAGAACCCCATTAAGCTACAGTAAAGACATAACTCAGGTTACATTGTACCCCCCCACATGATCCAACCCACCTCCCACGTACAGTACACAGGTGTCTTACCCATCAGCCCCTGCTGTGACTCCTCTACCCTCTCCTCCCAGCCCAATGTACTGTTACCAAAGAAACTGTGGCTGCTTTCTAATAACCCCATGTTGTTTATAGCACCATATGGAGAATGAGAGAGAGAAATGTAGAGACAGAGGGGGGTAGGGGAGGGTTGCTCTGATTTGTTGAGGCAATTCAGAGCAATGCGTTCCTTTTGTAGCATAAACTTTTCCTCCCTATTCTCGTCCACTACTTCCCTACATAGTGTGAACCCCCACCACCACAGTGGCGTCTTACTGTGCACTCGCGTGGTATATGGCCTAACTCAGTTTATGCCCTTACCAGACAAACAACCCAGTGATCCTTTTTCCATTCCCCACGCAGATAGGCAGACATGGACTTACTAGGTCATACTGTAGAGGCATTTAACATATGCAAACACACACACAAACACACTTTGAGCGGCTGCATTGGCAAGACGTCACTGAAAACAACCGAGGACACATTCCATTGTAAATTACATATCAAGTAGAAAGAAATACAGAAATCCTCTGGTAAACAAGCTCTTGTCTCTGACATTCATTCAAGTCAATAACAGGACGAGAGCATGAGAAGGATAATGGAATCGAATCAAATATTATTTCATTCTCAGTGCATACATTCTCTGCAGACCCTTTGAGAGAGGTTCATTTTAGCAACCTTTCCAGCGAGTGCATAACGTTGAAGCAGTGTGGTCAAATCAAATCGAGCTTTATTTCTACAGGACATTTCAGACATGGAATCAGACATGAATCAAGTCTGCCAGGAGTTTTCCTAAATGTGCCAAATTGGTTTTCAAGTACATAACTATAGAGAACATACAGAAATGCTATGGTAATACAAAATTTAAGTTTGCACACTCCCAGGAATGTCATGCATGATGGATCATTAGCTTCCCTACAGAAAAGACACTAACCTTCACACTTCTAGATGGCCGGGCGGGGTGGGTGTGGAGCAAGAGATCAAACTGTAGAACTCAGTTCCTACATTTGAATATAAAAATTGGTTTCCCAAACAAAACTACACTACATTTTATCTCTGGGACCCTCAAGATGACAAATCAGAGCAAGATTACTGAATGTAAGTACATTATTTACCTTCAGAGGTGAATGTACCAAACCAGTTGCCGTGATAAAAGTGTTTTGCTGTTGTACACTATCCTCAAACAATAGCATGGTATTTTTCTGCTGTAATAGCTACCATAAATCGGACACTGCAGTTAGATTAACAAGAATTTAAGCCTTTTGCCCATATAAGACATGTCTATGTCCCGAAAAGTTGGCTGTTGTTTACAACACCATTCTAGTCACATCGCATATTGAGCAGCAGCCGTCCTGTATAAGGGACACTGATCCCGTAGAGGTTAAATATATCCACAGTTTCGGCCCCCCTCAGGTTCTTTGGCAGGCTGTTCCAGAGGCTGGGGGCATAATAACTAAAGGCTGCCTCTCCATGCCTCTTGGTCCAGAGGACCTGAGGAACCTACTGGGTACATAACTTAAAAGCATGTCTGACGTATTAGGGTGCACAATCATGGATTGATTTAAAAACCAATAGAAGACTCTGGTGTGAGACTTTGAACCAGAACTTACAGTACAAAGGCAAGACAAAGATGCCCCTTCGAACCTCCCTCTTCTAATGTCTACCATTAAAACTCAGAGGTCATAAAACAGACTAGTCCGCGTTACGTCAGAATAGTTTTCACTGGTTGAGACGACTCTTGCGGTCGTCTCTGCTTGCTATTAACCTCATGTCCTTCGCATTGCAAACGCTCTGTCAGGGGAGACAGTAAATCAAAGCCTCTAATTTAACCTCAGGAGTCGATCTGCTCGAGCACATGATATTCTGAGAAGTTGGAGAGTAGTTGGAGACACATAGCTGAGGTTCTATGCAGCGGTGTGAGCCAGTGAATTAGGACTAGGGCTGCACAAAGAGAGAGGGAGATGACTAAACCAGACTAAGCACAGATAATCATACCCTGTAGTACACGCAAGCGCACACACACACACTGAACTATACCACACTCAACCAAAACTAAGCAAACAGGGAGCGTGTCTGGGTGTCCTAAAAAAGCACAGAGAATCCCACAGTGGAGCTGAAGAGGAAGTTGGGGGGAGGGAGAGAGAGGACAGAGAGGGAGAGAGAGAGACAGAGAGAGAGAGAAAGAGAGAGAGGGGAGAGAGAGAGGTTAAAGAGAGAACGAGAGAGAGAGAGAGAGAGAGAGAGAGAGGTTAAAGAGAGAACGAGAGAGAGAGAGAGAGAGACAGAGAGAGAGGGGAGAGAGAGAGGTTAAAGAGAGAACGAGAGAGAGAGAGAGAGAGAGAGAGAGAGAGAGGTTAAAGAGAGAGAGAGAAGAGCAACAGATGCTGCCTTTCAATTTTTTCAGTAGTCATGGAGTTAGATCAATAGCTACATGAGTTGTATTCAGAGAGGATGCATTGACTAGGGGACATAGCAGATCCATTGTGAACCGATGAAATCAAAGGAAACTAGGCTTGATAGATCAGCCTTTCTACTGTGGCTATGAGGAGCATTCAGTCGTGTTTTATGGAATTGTACTGGAAAGGCTTTTAGCCAAGGCTTCTCTCAATAGTGCCATTCAGGATACAGGCGTCGTCATAGCAATCTGCACTGTGATAAAATGCAACATAGCAACAGAATGAAATATGTCTGTCAGGAATCCAGATCTGACCTTTGCCAAATGTGTCCAACGGAACACACAAGGCCTGTGAATGTTCTGTGAACACCAATATGGCCTGTGTGTGTGTGTGTCTGTGTGTGAGAGAGTGAAAGAGAGAGCGGGTGTGTGTCTGTGTGAGTGATAAGAGCTGTGTTAACAGCAAGCATGGCCCAGGGGACAGACATGGTGAAAAGTCAATGAGACAGGTTAATGGGTCTCCTCAGGTAACACTTTACAAGGAGAGAAAATAGCTAGTCTGCCTTGTATGTGTTTTCATTCCTCCCTGAATGCAAACAAATATTACACCAGTACAAGCAGGACTGCTTCTGAATGTTTCAGCTCCTTTGTAATCGACCGCAAATTACTTGAGTAGGCGACGCCATTACACAGAGGGATCGAAACAGTTCCTCTGGAGTAAGCTTTGCGTCACGTAACCTTTTGCATGTTGTGATCATTAAAAGCTTTCCTGGGTCAAACCCTTTGAACAAAGTATCGACATCTTTTTGTCCGGGAGAAATCTGAAATTTGAAGGATGCTAATCATCATTGTTCCTCTTTGAGGTCGATTGCTGATTTCCTGTGTCGTTGTTGAGAGCTTATCTGGCAGTACTTCACGTATTCTCAGTTCCTATTTTTGGCCGAGGGAATACTCTTTAAATGTCGAATTCCAGTTAAAAAGGGCTATTGAAGATTTTCTGCAAATAACGCATGATTTTAACTAGCACCTGGAGAGGTGCCACTTCAGCAGGCTAGCTGCTACTCTAAAAAGAAAGAAATTAGAGAATATCTATGGGATACAGTCTCTCAGATAGCCCAGCCCTCCAAAGTGCATATCTAGAGCAAAAACCAACTCCAAGCCAAACTCCAATCTCCGTTTTGATACAAAGGGTCAGCATGGCAAAGTTAAAACATGTGAAAGTAGAGATTTTGAAAGCATTAAGAGGATCTGCCTGGAGTGTGTCCACAGTCCTGGTTTATTTCCCTTTTATGGCAGCGGCTGATTTGAAGCAGGTGTTGGACTCTGCCTTATCATGAATCATGGCACTGGTGAGGTGTCGGCCACTGCAGGGGCGTTTTTTGGGGGGGGAATGAAAGGACTGTCTGATGAGGGATTGGGCTAAGGCTTGGCTCCCAGGGTGTGTTAAGCTTTAGTACTCACATGTTCTCCTGGCTGCGGCCGCATGAGAGAGACCTGGTCATAACCGCGGCGAAACAGGGCCCAAATGGCATCCAGTTTACCCTGCAGACAAGAGACAGAGAAATGACTACAGTGAATACTGTCAAAAATGCATTCTAGCTAGCAAACTGGTAAGTATGTATGGCCAATATGTTATTTCATACTACACAGTACCCTATTAGAAATTTATTGGTAACGAGGAAGAGAGTGTACACACTAGTCTGAGAAAATAAAGGAAGAAAGGAAAGAGATGCAGGGTGTTTCTACCTGTATAGGTGTGTACCACTTCCTGTCCGCGGCTGGCTTCCTGTTGTGGGCCTTCTTGGGCTTGGGCTCGTAAGGCTCAAACTCCTGCTCTGGCATTTTCACAACGGCGTTCTTGGGCATCTCCAGTTTAGCCCCCTCCTCCGTTGAACCTTTCCCTCCCCAGCGCACCTGTAGGAGTGGAACACAGATGGGTTTTATGACCTACAGTACCTGTAGAAGGGGGTCTATATACTACACATGGGCAGTGATGTAGAGTCAAGAATAAAGTTCCAACTTTGATGTGTTTGTGAGGAAATATGGAGAATGAAGATTGAAATTGCTGTAATGTCAAGAGGTGATTAGATCCGCCTCACCTCCATTCTTTTGATTCCTCCGACTCCTCTTCCTCCATAGTAGGATGCATCTACGGTGGGCCACTTCTTCTTGGGCATGCCATCTTCATCATCTGATTCCTGGCAGAGAGAAAAGATGGAAGCATGTGTTCATGTGTTACGATATAATGCATCTTTCCCATATTCTTGGCCACGATGGTAAACGTCTCCAAAAAGCAATTTATCCCACTTGTCTTGTATGAATGCTTTTTTCATTCACCAACAATACAGCTTCACAGAAAATAAAAGAAGAATTCCGCCAAATGGAAATAGAATTGAAAGAGGGTAAAATTTGGAATTAGTGAGCGCTTTAGGCCACTCATGCATCAGAGATCCATAGAATATAATGTCTCTCTGTTTCACGACCAGCTGTGTCACATCTATGGAAAATGTGACAAAGACTTATTATTTGGGATCAAGTTCTGTGGCATCATGCCTTCGAAATGCCCTGAAGAGGCCTCATAACTGCATCACTTAACATTTTTGTCACTTATTCTTGATTTTTCATCTGAATACTTTTGCTTTTTCTTGGAACTTCATCCATATTGAGTATAGACCCCACTGAGCTTGATGATGCGTTCTCTGGTTCGCTAATAGTTCTGTGTTATGATTGAGACCCTGTGTGTGACTGAGTGTGTGTGTGTAGTCCTTTAATGCGCGTGTATACTTTCAGAGGAGATTTAATGGCTGACTTACTGGCTCTGGAGGAGGCGGTGGAGGAGGCTCTTTGATCACCTAGATAGGAAGTTCAGGGGAGAAAGTCACATTAATATCAATTGTTGGACCACTAGCTATGTTTCCAGTAATTTGTCCAGTGATTTTTCTTGTCGACATTTAGAAAGTTTGCATAGAAAATAGGTTAGACAATTGCCTGCTATGGTGCGTTTCCATTTAACAATCTTGTTTTCGATAAAACAGCTGGACATAATGACGTGACACCAAAAAAAAAAAAAACTAGTGTTGAATAAAAATGTAGTGGTTGAAGTGTTTCCATTACCCATTTAGGCAAATTACGCGTTAATAAATTGGCGACAGCCTGTATGCCCTCCCGCCTATCTGTTTCATGTCTCAGGTATCCCGAGAAAGCCAGCATGGATAGAATGCAATAACTGACTAATATTTGCCATATTCTAATAATTCTCATGTGCCTGAATGTATCGCCATGGTCCGTGCCATAGTGAAACTTGCACTCCTGTAGACCTGAAATAATTGGATGTTGAAACTTGTATCCAGCCAACCAGAAAAGCAAGGCAAAACAATTAAGCCATTCTTGAAAGTCAGGACAAGGATCCTGCAAAGAAACATTATTTTTATAGTTGAAAAATAGATTTAGCAGGCAGTAGGCATTTAGATGTGGAGTGGAACTTCATAGATATGTGTTGACATCACGTGCCTCGCGCACCTTCAAAATTATTCGGCAATCATCATTTATTTTCCAAATAAAGAATGTTCAACAAAAGAAAAACCACCCCTGTTGAAAAAACCTGGGTCAATGGAAACCTGCCTAGTGACTAGTGGACACATCATGTGTTCATTATCATTTCCCGGTAAACAGATGTATCATTTATTTCCTGAATGAACTGCAAAACTTAAAGAAAATTGTTACAAAAGTTTAAAGTAATGTATTCTGGTAAGTAAAACCCCTTACAAACAATTACAACATAATGTTACATTACATTGAACCAGATTACTTTTTTTTACGGTAATTACATAAGTCATTCCAATGGCAATTCCTCTGCTATAGGGTCTACTCTATACAGTATACAGATGTAGGATCTTAATTTTAGCCAGTTTGCTACAGCAGGAAAATAATCCTGCAGTAACAGAAAATGTGAATTATTATGTGGATTATAATGAATGGACATTTTTGTAGGGGTTGATACATTTTCCGTAAAAATCAAGTCTGAAATTTCAAAGTGGAAATTACAAACTTCAGAAGCCTTTTCAAACCACAAATACACTACATGTTTTAAATGTCATGCATTGCAGGAAAGTTCTCCTGCAACATGGTGATCAAATACAAATCCTACACCTGTAATATAACACGTGGCCCATAATCGGCATCATATTGAACCAACTTTTAATGGAGGGTTACACTAACCACAGTGCAGCAGAGGGGCCAGAACCACCACATGAACAGCACGGCCATCAACAGGAACAGAACCAGGAGTGTGATGAGAAGGATGGTGCCATCAAACTGCCAGGGAAGATAAAATACGACAGGGTTACGACCCCCGCCGCCACCCCTCCAAATACACAGACCAGGAAGACTATAAAGAGAGAGTTGGTAGAGCATGGCGCTTGCAACGCCAAGGGTTGTGGGCTCAATTCCCGCTGGGACCTCCCATACAACAAATGTATGCATGCATGACTGAAAGTCGCTTTGGATAAAAGCGTTCGCTAAATGGAAAATATTATACGTTGAGGAGGGGGTCTCGATCTAAATAATGGACAATATAGTTCCTATTAGCGCCTATAGAATTGTGGATAAGATGTGATGGTGTTTTTTCCTTATTTATTTTGTGAGGTGAGCGGGGCGCTGGTTAAAATTGTACTCTGACGTGGGGGTTTCGGGGGGCTGTTGAGTGGATCATTGCTGAAGCTCCTTTGGCTCTAAATACAAAAAGGAGGAAACTTACTCAAGCAAAACAAGAGCCCTCTGAACGTTTTTTGAGAAGAGGATGGCCCCGGAAAGAGATTAAGAGGAGGAAAAAGGAGGTAGAAATAAAAAACAGAAAAAGATTCAGATAGAAGAAACTAATAAAGGATTCAATGCAAAATTATGGAAATTGGATCATTGTTTCCCAACATTAGACAATTCCTAGTGAGTTTTGAGTAGTGGTTGTAAGGTGAATGGTAGAGCATACTTACACACTCTGTGGTGGTGATGTGCACAGAGCTAGTGATGAACGACAGGCCTTCATTCATGCTCACTTGTAGATAAACAACCCTGAAACACAAAAACACACACATTAGGCTAGTTAAGAGCTGCTTGGCCAAAACCACTGAATGGAAAAAGGGCACAGTTGTCCGGTGCCAAGGTGCCACACAAAGAGAGCTTTGCGCCCAACAAACAAAGCTATTATTGCGCAGACATGTTATTACATGTCTGAGACTAAGTAGGGCACTGGCATTAAAGTTGGTTAAACCCTTTGTCAGCCAAGACAGGTTTTTACCTTGCCCGATCAAAAACAATTGATGCCCATTTCACATCTATTTTTCTTCATATCTCCAAAAACTACTGCAAGTACCTTTCTCTTCTGGGTGCAAAACAATTATTCACATGTGACCTCAGGTAGCCTGGAAAACTTCTCAAACCTTGGTGATAAAAAGCCTAATTTGGAATTCCCTGCATTTTTCTATCGGTGCAAAGCACGTAGAACCGATCAACAGGGTATGCGAAGTAGGTCATTTGGACTGATAAGCCTTGTTTGGTTTGGCTGAGAGAGGGCTGGAGTCTGTTGGTTAAATTAATGCGCATGCATACCTCAGTGCCAGCAAACGACTGTGTAGACTACAGTCTTATCCCTGAAAGAAGTAACAATCAGGGGGAAAATATGGGTAGTTGGACTTGGACCATGTTCACATTGTGGAGATATGTGTGTGAGGGGAGCATGATCAATTTGACCATGGGATGCTAACTGCTAGATGAGATGACTCTACAAATGAAAAGACTTGGGAAAAACAATGGGAGCGAAGGGGGAGGAGGGAGTTAACTAGAGAAACTGGCCACTGGATGTTCAGGGATAAAATACCAGACAGAGAGAAAGACAGGAAGCGCCAGTCGTGGCTGTGTGGTGTCAGACATCTGTAAAGCAAGCAGATGAAAGGGCAGGGTAGGCACTAGGCAGACGTTCTGCTGCTTTGATCAGAGCTGCTAGTGAGGGCGAGTGAGCGGCGCCTGGGGGGAACGGAGCCAGAAAGGGAGAGGGGCGTAAGTGGTTGCGGGTGATCAGCTAAGAGAGAGAGAGAGATCGAGAGAGAGAGAGAGAGAGAGATCGAGAGAGAGACAGAGAGACAGACAGAGAGAGAGAGAGAGATCGAGAGAGACGACAGAGAGAGAGACAGACAGACAGAGAGAGAGAGAGAGAGAGAGAGAGACAGAGAGCGAGAGAGACAGAGAGCGAGAGAGAGAGCGAGAGAGAGAGAGAGAGAGAGAGCGAGAGAGACAGAGAGAGAGAGATGTTTATGTTTATTTATTTTCCCATTTGTACTTTAACTATTTGCACATTGTTACAACACTGTATATATACATAATATGACATTTGAAATGTCTTTATTCTTTTGAAACTTCTGAGTGTAATGTTTACTGTTAATATTTATTGTTTATTTCACTTTTGTTTACTATCTACTTCACTTGCTTTGGCAATGTTAACACATGTTTCCCATGCCAATAAAGCCCTTAAATTGAAAAATTGAAATTGAAATTGAATTGAGAGAGAGAGCGAGCGAGAGAGAGAGAGAGTCTTTATTATTATGGAACCTTTGTGAGTGTAATGTTCATGTTTCCTGTTCATTTGCTATTGTTTATTTCACTTTTGTTTATTATCTATTTCACTTGCTTTGGCAATGTAAACATATGTTTCCCATGCAAATAAAGCCCCTTAAATTGAAACTGAATTGAGAGAGAGAGATCAATGTGGCAGGGTGAGGGTAGAGGAGAATGCTGGCGGTAGAGAGAGGAAAGCAAGCAGGGGACAGATTAGGGGAATGGGGTGAGGGCAGGAGGGAGGAGGAGAGTTACAGGGTTTTGAGTTTGGGGGAACACACATTTTGGGTGGGAGAGAGTTTGTGGGCTGGAAAGTACGTAATGTACTTTTGTTTTCTGTCTCCCTTAACTGTCTCATCCAAGGTCAAAAGAGCCCTCAGAGTCTAAGTCGTTTACCATTGCTGTCTAATTCCTCAATTTATGACCTGATGAAATAAGTTCTTAAAAAATGGGGTTCTGAAGTGGTTTGTTGATTTTGGAGATTCTGCGGTCTACATTAGAAATGAAGCAACCTAATGATGGATGCGTCTGTTGTTGGATTATGGGGTACACAGGACGCTGCTGAGGGGAGGAGTAAATGGAATGGTATCAAACACATGGAAACCAAGTGTTTGATCCCATTCCATTATTTCCATCCAGCCATTACTATGAGCCCTCCTCCCCAATTAAAAAAAGATACTCACTGCCCAACTTCGTCTATTACCGGAGCTGTACACAGCAGGAACGTATCTTCGATAGCCACAGGCTTCTTATCTATGGAGAGAGCCAAACACTCCGTTTACTTAAATACGTTTCGTTTCTTCAATCAACTGTAGTTCTTCATGCATGTTACAGCTAGAAATACACATTACACACATTGGTATGAAACACCTGGTTAAGCCTACAGTAAATGAAGTGTAAATGTAAGTAGGTACTCACTAATGGTGAGGGTGTCATTGAGTCTAAAGCTGCACAACACCTGCTCTATATTCCTGGCGTGAAGGAAACCGTTCCCTCTCACCACCACCTGGAAGCTCTCTGGAAATAAGACACAACACCTTGAGTTTAGAAAAATAGTACATAAATGTAATGTAACCAATCATAAGCTATCAGACCTTGCACAATTATGTTATACAAGAGTAGCTAGACTGGCTTGTCAACATAGGTTAAATAAAAAACAGAAAACATCATGCTCAGGAAACAAAGGTCTTATGGGACTTGTCTCTCTCGATTAGGAAACAAGTCATTTATCAAATTGACTTCCATTTGGCAGGCCAGCATAAACTAAACATGGACATTCCATTCAGAGACCCTCTCATAACAAGATCCCCAATACACTACACTCCATTAACCCCAATGGGGATTCATTCGAGTGATCATGGTCCTACTCATTAGGCACCAAATGGAGAAAACCCCCCAGACTGAAACAGAGCGGGACTACTTGAATTTTTCCAATAAGAAACATGTTTTACATTTTAGCAGACGCTCTTATCCAGAGCGACTTACAGAAGCAAGGGTTAAGTGCCTTGCTCAAGAGCACATTGGCAGATTTTTCACCTAGTCGGCTCAGGGATTCAAACCAGTGACCTTTCGGTTACTGGCACAATGCTCTTAACCGCTAGGCTACCTGCTGTTTTCCATTTCAAAATGTTTTTCTACGTTTTACTAGTGTGCCGTAACGAATACGAGCCAGCTGAGCCCCAGTCAGAGGGAAGGGCACCGGCACCAGCCTGGCCCCTTAATGAAATGAAAACAGCACTTAGCCAATGACAGGGAACTAGCGTTGATCTGCTTTGATCTTTTAGGGACCCCACCTCCTGCGCAAACACTGGAGGGCTCTGCAGCTAGGATCTCAATACAGGACTTCTTGATGATCTGAAGAAGGAGAAGATGATTGAGTTGACTAGGTTAAATAGGCTAAAGGTGTATTGAAATAAGAGACAGGTTCCTCATTTACAACATCTCTGTCTATTTTGACTTTTTAACTTTCTCTGAAGGTACGTTTTGTGAAACAGGTCTAAGTCTCTCCTTCCTGCCCAGGGTGTATTTACCGAGTCGATCACTCCTCGCAGGGCTACGAATCCGCCCATCACAGGAAACACATGCTCGATGGTGTCTGCTATGGTGGCCAGCTATAGGGGGAAGGAGACAGCAGGTTTATTTACACAGACACAGTGCTTCCTCCTGACTCCTGTCTCAGTAACCAGAGACAGACACATATTACGTACATCATGACCCATTCACTTCAGTGAAGAGTTCAGTGTACACTTGATTTGAGATAAAATAACCATTGAATTATATTGTATCTCTATGCCTTCATCTCTCGCTACATACATGACCAGGTTAGGGGGAAAAGAACAGTACAATGATAGGGACACTAAGTACAATCAGGTACAATCCTGATGTACAATCGACATTGGACAGAGGCCTAAACAACCTTGATGGAGGTAAAAGTACAGTATGTTATAGCCAGACATTTAGTGAAAGTCAATCTGGGTGGTAGACCGATGCATAGGGTCGATCAGGTTTCAAATCCAGTTAAAACATTGCATGACTCTGAAGCTTCCTTCTTAGCTAATATGGTAATCGTTTGCATGCGAGTCAAATCGCCCAATTTCTCTGTCATTACTGCTCAGCCTGGCGTTTAAGTAGCCCTATAAACCTCACAAGCAAGCTCGGGTTCAAGATGTGTAGGTAGATGGAATTATGTGATACATAGTCTACAAATGGGCTACTAAATATAAATAGCATATATTGTAATCATTGTAGTGAAATAATATTGAGTGAGTAGTATTACTGCCTGTAATTACAGTATGCCATTTTCTGTTAACAACAGGTTCCTAAATGTGTTTTGACAGGGGAGCAGGAATGCATGTTTTACTGCAAACTAAACCCTTGCCTGTGTCTCGTTAAAGTCCTTTACTCCGACACAGTACACCATAGCGCCTAGAGACCGGCTTCTCTCTGCCTGTTTGTGGGAGAAAACCAAGAATCAGCACCAGAGAACATGTTATTACATTGTCTTCCCTTTACATCAACAGGAAGGTGAATGTTATATAAATCCAATTTGCCGACCTCCTGTTGTGCGGTGACGAGTTGGTGTTCATTCAACTCCCCATCAGTCAAGGCGATGATAACACTTGCTGTCCCTGTAACGGAGAGGTCAATCAATTGTATGACTTCAACATTGGCAAGTACCGAAAATCAAGTGATTTTTGATACGTCTAACTCTAGTGACAGATGCCATTGGATGCTTACCAAAGTTTTCATGGTGTATCTGTTCATTTGCCTGAAAAGAGAAAACAATGTTATTCTTCTTCTTATGTTTTTTTTAAAAATATGTTAAACAGGCAAATAACGTGTGATAAAGTAAGAACCATGTCAGAAGCAGATATGTACCCTTTCCAAGCCCAGGTGCATAAAGGTGTCTCCCCCAGGTATCTCTTTCCTCAACACATTCAATCCTTTTCTTATCTCCACCCTGACAAACAACACAAATCACGTTATAAAAAAATGTCCTTGTCTGATGTCTAAATGTCATTACTGAGTAAAATAGTAATCATCACTTTCTATTTCAAAGTCCTCATACAAGACAATGGCTGTGTCCCAAATGGCACCCTATAAAGGGAATAAGGTAGCATTTGGGACGGAACCAATATTTTAGTTTACCTGTTTTCTGTCAGTTTCATGAGAGTGGTTCCTCTGGATGAGAAGACAATAAAGGACATTCTCAACATGGGGCTGTAAAACAACACAGCACACAAACAACGGTTAGATACCATGGTGGTCCTGAACCATTAGAAAAATGCATTTTGTCAAGCCTCAAAGAGGCCATACTATGTTTGAACTCAATCCATAAACAAACAAACTAAAATAGGGACCACCCACTGGACACACTCTCCAAATAATTTATTTCACGAATTTATAGTGACATGCAAGGACGTGTTTTGGCGTCAAAATGTCCCTAGCATTAGAAAAACTTTACACGGAAACATGTCCATGAATTCAAGCATAAATCAGTGAATTCTCTCATGTGGTTAGTTCCATCCTATTGTTTGTTTATGGGCCATGTTCACAAGGACTCTGGACCCAATTTGATGGATTCATATGTTGTTTTTGAGACCATTGTAATCGGGGAAAAACAATACCACCCAAACTGAGGTAGCTTTCTAGCTAATGATGTAAAGGGAATAGCTAGCTAGCTGACATTGCTGTGCACTCTGGTCATGTATGTCTTTGTCTCCCAGCTTGAAGCTCTCGAGCTGCCGTTATGTTCATGACACATGCCATTACCGCGGTGGGTTGGTAAGTGAAGGAGCACATGGCCAGTCTTTACTCCATTGGGGAAATAATGTTTTTGCTGGGGGAAAGTTATGTGTTGTCGAGTACTGTTTCTCTTAAAGCTCTCTGGATGGATCCTGCCATTACAAGCCAAGCAGCAATGAAGATACTTTTCCTATTAGTAAATACATGATTGTTACTGAATTCCCATGCCGAGGGCGATGTAGGACTATTTTCCAGCATGTGTTTGTTTATTTGTCCGGCTGGCGCCGCAGAGTCTAGCTCTCACCCATCCTCACCCTTTCTTCCCCTCACATGAGAGATTGCTATCACCTCCAGCTAGTGGCCTCAGCCAATTGGACAACCCCGATTCACCTCACCTCTGTGCACGAGCTAGCCATGCTGTCTCTCAAGGCCCTGATTGACAACAAAATATCTTTGTGATGTTCTCTTACCTGATAAACTTTTCAGCTAGATGCTCCACAAAGGAGTATATTTCTATCCAGTGGTTTTTGACACTGCCAGATCTAAGAAAGAAAGAAAACAGAGGAATACTTATATCCTACTACCTAATGTTGTTTAAAACTACACCTGACACATTTCCTAAATGTTTATCCAATGCCTCCTAGTACAGAAACTGTTTGTACTATTGCAACATATAAAGTCAACACAAAATCATCACAGAGATGTTATTAGTAAGCTGATTGGCCAAACAATATGTCATGGAAAACACAAGCCATTTGAACATTAGCAGAAGAAAATCCATTGACACAAACAAACCCCATTTAAAAGGAGGAAAGAGGGTTAGGACACATCTGAGGACCAAGTCTGTAACTTAGCAACCTGCCCAGCTAGCTAGCCTGGGTCTCTAAGTTTCCATAAGGGACCGTAGCAGTAATAGTCCCTATGAAAGCTGAATGCTCTCCACAGAGAAGAGCTTAATTTCCTCTTAGTTAGGGAAGGAGGGGACCTGGCTGGGGGTTTTGGCAGTGACTCGTTACTGAAGAATATGACACATGAACCAATCACTGTTAGCGGATGGATGAAGCAGTACCCTGAAATAGGATAATGGTGCTGACGAAGCCTCACATGGATGTGTGATGTAATAGTTGTAATCTGGGCACCAGACTTAACATTAACTTGTTTTCCCAGTTTAGTCTCAGTACTGGTTTTCTGGTGTATATTTTTGTTGTTGTTGTGTAGGATGAACAGGCATGACATACTGTGCAGATTGAGTTGAGTATATTCTTTATAAGCTTTATAAGCATTGCAGTCGTCTGAGTCAAAGCACCCTGTGAGGACAGTACTTTTCAAACTAAACAAACCTTACCCAAATAAAACTTGTGGGGGAGGCCAGCTAGCGTCACACTTGGATGTTCAACAAATGTGCTGAATAAACAGTGTTCATCTGACACGGCTTGAACACACACAGTCGGACTGCCCTGACCTGAGGGAAGAGCCAATCTGTCAGGCATGCAGTTTGTTTCATTACTAGGGGGAAAATACTGCACCTCAAAATGGCTTCTTTCATGTACAGTACAGCCATATAGGGATAGTGTTTCAGTGTTTTTCTAAGACGGGTGAAGCTAAGGACTCCCGCCTTGGAGATTTTTTTGCATCACAATGGATATTATTTGTGTTGGACAAGACTGTTTCCTGAGGTACCAGGCAGTCGTGGGACTGGGGCCTAGCTTGCAGTTTTCTCACCTGTATAAACAGCATTAGGAAAGGAAGTGGGCTATTGTCCTGTGAGATCCTTGAGGACAAATTTGTGGTACTTTTTCTTTGATACAATTTTAATAGACTGAGTCAAACCATTACAGTTCAAAGGTTTTGGAAGTTGCTATTGCAAGCTTCAACAGCTTTGTTGACTAAAATGATTGAGTTCTTGACGACAGGAGTTTGAGATTATATCATATCAAAAAGAGTGTAAGTGTTATACAATTGATATATCCTCTGACTATACGTACATGATGAACGGCATGTTGGGCCATATGAAACTCATTTTGAAACTCACGGAACTGATGGAACCCCATAGCCAAGAGAAAGAGAGAGAGAGTGATCGGGGTAACATTCGGATGACTGGGATAATTAAAACCACGTGTTGGCTCTTTAATGTCTCATCTGCTGGGGGAAGCAGAAATGATCCACCATGGATCTCCAACCACAAGTCCATTTTTTTGTCTTTCAGCCCACACAGATGCCAAAATAGATCAGCAAAATGGAACTGGAGGGACCGGTGAGGTCAGAGCTCTAACCAACCCACTGAAAACTGTCCTGGGGAATAACAGACAAATGACATAAGATGAATGACAGGCTATGGTCTCAAGGCCATAAGCAACAGCTATCTAGTTTACTACAGCGTTTGATCAGATGGTGTACTGTTTCCAAACACCTTAGGACACTCATGGAGGCAACATGCACCATTATCATCCAGCAACGCTAAGCATATCATGTCAGGACTGTGCTAGATGTCAGAGGGAGAGAATTCATTACTTTAAACACATGAAAGCCCAGAGTAATTTATATATTTTTTTTAATCAAGCCTTTCTTTCTGCTGACTGTGTGAAAACTCACCACTACAACGAGCAAAATGAAGTGAGTGAGGGAGAGAGAGAGACAAAGGGAGTGAGAGAAACAGACAGAGAGAGTGTTCAGTCCGTCTAGGCCAGGGATGTCAGAAAACGTGGGAAAAAGCTCTGTCAGACCAGGTGTTCAGTAAAAGGCTCTGCTCTCACGCTTCTAAGTGTTGAGAGGAAAATCCAACACCATGAAGCTGTAGTGTCCCATTCCAGTTGGGCCTGCTGCATGTTAAGAACCACCCCAGTCTGCGACCAATGATCTTACTCCAATTTAACTGACTATGCAAAGGGATTTGTATAGAGAGACCAATAACCTACTTTTAGCTTGAGGCCTACTTGCTGTGTCTAGGCTTCCAACTGCAATCTTTCTTTACTCTCACTCACTTTTTCTCTTGGATGTTTTTCTCTCTTTCTTCTTTTCACCCTCTTTTTCTCTGGGTGCGATATTATTTTCTCTAAATAACTGACTGCCCCTTTAAAATGTCTGTCTCGCTCGGGTCCCTCAAAGCACTGGTGATTCTAGACGGTGTGATAACATTTAAAGCTGCAATATGTAACTTTTGGGGTGACCCGACCAAATTGACATAGAAATGATGAGATCTGCTGTTCTTGTTGAAAGCAAGTCTAAGAAGCCACCGAGTGGCACAGTGGTCTAAGGCACTTCATTGCAGTGCTAGCTGCGCCACTAGAGATCCTGGTTCGAATCCAGGCTCTGTCGTAGCCGGGCCGCGACCGGGAGAACCATGGGGCGGCGCACAATTGGCCCAGCGTTGTCCAGGGTAGGGGAGGGAATGGCCGGCAGGGGATGTAGCTCAGTTGGTAGAGCATGGTGTTTGCAACGCCAGGGTTGTGGGTTCGTTTCCCACGGGGGGCCAGTATGAAAAATAAGAAATAAATAAATCATGTATGCACTCACTAACTGTAAGTCGCTCTGGATAAGAGCGTCTGCTAAAATGACATAAATGTAAAAATCTGTTCTATGTGCACTATTTCTATGCTTCCCATTCTTAAGTTTTGTTTTTGCGTCTTTTACTTTCGCCGTTGTACACCAGCTTCAAACAGCTGAAAATACAATATTTTTGGTTATGGAAAATATATTTCACAGCGGTTTAGATGGTATAATGATTCTCTACACCAGGGATCATCAACTAGATTCAGCCACAAGCCAATTTTTACTTGAGCGGATGGTCAGGGGTCCGGAACATAATTACAAATAATTTGTAAACTGCAAATTGACCAAACTGATATAATATTTAACTAAAACAGAATAATTTCAAACCTTGCTTACATTTGTATATGATCACTTGTATACGATCACTGGGAATACCTTGGAACAGATTTCCAAAATAAAAATCACTTGGAGCTGATTTGCTGGCGTTTTTAGTCTTTTATGTCCAACAATAAAATGAAAATTAAATTAAAACAAATTTTGGCCCGTGGGACGCCAGTTGAGGAACCCTGCTCTATACTATACTTGCTTGTTTTGTCACAAACTGAAATTAGGTGAACTATTAGAATTTTTGCAACCAGGAAATGGCAGAGCGATTTCTTCATAGTGCACCTTTAACAAGGCATTTATTCCTGCAAAACACACGTGCCAAAGGCTACTTCTGGCGCGTTATGGAGGCCAAAGCAGCACCATGGTCCTGGAGAGAGAAAAAAGCACATTCCACAGTGAGAAAGTCTTGACATGTTTACATTATTTCTAGACTCCAGCTGTAGTCTGGTTGGCTTGGACTTTATCATTAAAATGATCATGACTTAACGCCCAACTTCAATGTTGGCCTGTGAAAAGAACAACATTTCGCAATGATTAACATTCTTGTGAAGAATGATGAAGACTTGAAAAAGAAGAACAAATGGCTGCTACATGCATCCTATTGGGAAAACACAAGTGCCAAACATAATTGTTTCCTATTGTCCCATAGCTTGATCAGAAAACAATGATATAAAGGTCAAGGTGGACAAGACATACAGTATGACTGTGGGAATCTGCTAGGGCATCAGAGCTTCTAGCATTATGATCTTGTGTCTTATAAACAGTGTATGTCTCATGGGCCAGAGTTTTTACATCCTACAAGTGGTAAATGCAGGTGGCAGTAGCTAGGTTTCTATCCAAATGGTGACAGATTTTCATGCAAATATTCCAAAATCTGCATTAAGAAAATATGCAAATTTTCCACCAGTGGTGTGTTTCCAGCGGATAGAAATCTGTGCGTGATGACGTAGTGCACATGAAATGTACCTTTTCGCTTAAGTTTTCATGTACTGAATAAAAATCGAATGTTCAATGTGTTTTCATCACTTTTTTAACTCTACCGATAATTATGTCACAAAAACTGTTGCGTTAAATAGCAAATGTGCCTAGTCTGGTCTTGGCTCTTGGCTCTTGCCAACAGCTGGCAGATACAATGTGGGTAGGCTAGTCTACATGATGAGATTATTATGGATAAGAGCGAGAATATTTGTATTTGTCAAACGTCAGTCAAGCATCTTTCATCATGTCCCCAGAATAAGACCCTCAATATTTATTGGAAAGGAGCATCAAGCTCATCACCTTGCACTTTCACTACCCTGTGAAGTTCATCATAACTTATTTAATCTGTAGCCTAATAAACCGCATGGTTTCCCGAGTCGTAGTGTGAGGACCACATAACATGTCATTGCGTGACTCCAAGTTTACTTCGATATGATGGTTATTTTATCAATATTTGCACATAAATGCGTTTCCACCGCCATTTCTCGCATAATTCATTTTAACAACACAAAAAGATGCCACCATGTCGAACGAACAAATGATCTGTTGGCATTTATAAAATTGTACCGAAACTTCCTGTTTCCATCACAGCTGATCTGATTTTTTTTATACAGTATGACTTTACTCGCATAAAAACTGTGGATGGAAACGTGGTTACAGATAAGGAAGTAAGGGCAAGGAAGTGATGTCAGCAGACCAAAAGTAAAACTTTAGCATCTGATTAGCATTAGCTACAGTGGTAGGGAGTGCGTTTTTAGGATTTTTATTATGCAGAACATTTGGCGTCAGTACTGGTCTGCAGTGATAGAAACATGCCCTAAAACAATCAATTTTGTTGTGTTCCTTATAAAACAGCAGGATAGGGCCTACCAGTCTGATTCAGCTCAATGCCATACCCATAGAGATCTTATTCAATTACTAATTATATGGTCATACCTCAGTAGGCCTATAGAACACCACAACATAGGGATAACTTTAGCTTGGTTCTCTTTGATCCACTACCAATTTGGACCTTAACAGTAATGATTCATGATATCCACATGGTCCGTTTTCCTTTACTGGGTGACCCCTTGGCTGAGGGAGATTTTTCCATAAACTAGTCGTGTAACCTACAGGACTCATATTCAAAGAAACTCGAGACCAAGGTGTTGTAGCCTAGTTGTAGCCCTATGCAGTGTGACAAGAGCCAGACCTGGAGGAAAAACTCCTGGTCCTATGGGATGTAACTAAGGCCCAGAGTTTTTCCTGTTCAGGTCTGGTCAGGAACCCAATGGCCAAGCTAAAGTACAAAAGGCTATGTCCTTAACCTACATCTCAACCAGTATATGGTCTGTGCTAGTGTTGTAACGATACCAGTATCGCGATACTATGACACCAGAATTTTCTTGGCAAAAAAGAAAACATGAAGCAGACTCAACTCTATGGTCATTTAGTGTGTGCTGTAGCTTGCAAAATAAACAAATGTGACTCTGGGTGACAACATAAGGCAGTTTGTTCCAACATTAGGACTTCTTTCCTCAAGAAATTTAGTCTGCTTCATGTTTTGTTTCCTTTGCTTCCTTACGTCCTAGTATTGCGATACGGGTGTCGTGAAAACACTAGCCTGTGCATCTCATAAACAGCTCAGGCCTGAGGGATGAAGGGAAGTCACAAACGAGCATCCGGTTGTTTGAAGTCAGGAACCTCGCTTAGTAGCGCCAACATCCTCATCATCATCCAGGGCCACACAAGTTTGTAGACATACAGTGCATTCGGAAAGTATTCAGACCACTTGACTTTTCAACATTTTGTTACGTTAAAAAAATATAATAATCCACAGCAATCTACACACAATACCCCATAATAACAAAGCGAAAACAGGTTTTTAGAAATGTTGGCAAATTTATTCAACATAAAAAGCAGAAATAACTTATTTACATAAGTATTCAGACCCTTTGCTATGAGACTCAAAATTGAGCTCAGGTGCATCCTGTTTCTATTGATCATCCTTGAGATGTTTCTACAACTTGATTAGAGTCCACCTGTGGTAAATTCAATCGATTGGACATGATTTGGAAAGGCACACACCTGTCTACATAAGGTCCCACAGTTGACAGTGCATGTCAGAGCAAAAACCAAGCCATGACGTCGAAGGAATTGTCTGTAGAGCTCCGAGACAGGATTGTGTCGAGGCACAGATCTGGGGAAGGGTACCAAATAATTTCTGCAGCATTGAAGGTCCCCAAGAACACAGTGGCCTCCGTCATTCTTTAATGGAAGAAGTTTGGAAACAAGAACCCGATGGTTACTCTGACAGAGCTCTAGAGTTCCTCTGTGGAGATGGGAGAAACTTCCAGAAGGACAACCATCTCTGCAGCACTCCACCAATCAGGCCTTTATGGTAGAGTGGCCAGACGGAAGCCACTCCTCAATAAAATTTACATGACAGCCCGCTTGTAGTTTGCCAAAAGGCACCTAATGACCATGAGAAACAAGATTCTCTGATCTGATGAAACCAAGATTGAATTCTTTGGCCTGAATGCCAAGCGTCACGTCTGGTGGAAACCTGGCACCATCCCTACGGTGAAGCATGGTGGTGGCGGCATCATGCTGTGGGGATGTTTTTCAGCGGCAGGGACTGGGAGATTAGTCAGGATCGAGGGAAAGATGAACGGAGCAAAGTACAGAGAGATCCATGATGAAAACCTGCTCCAGAGCGCTCAGGACCTCAGACTGGGGTGAAGGTTCACCTTCCAACAGGATAACGACCCTAAGCACACAGCAAAGACAATGCAGGAGTGGCTTCGGGACAAGTCTCTGAATGTCCTTGAGAGGCCCAGCCAGATCCCGGATTTGAACCCGATATAACATCTCTGGAGAGACCTAAAAATAGCTGAGCAGCAACGCTCCCCATCCAACCTGACAGATCTTGAGAGAATCTGCAGAGAAGAATGGGAGAAACTGCCCAAATACAGGTGTGCCAAGCTTGTAGCGTCATACCCAAGAAGACTTGAGGCTGTAATTGCTGCCAAAGGTGCTTCAACAAAGTACTGGGTAAAAGGTCTGAATACTTATGTAAATGTGATATTTCAGTTTTTAACATTTCTAAAAACCTGCTTTTGCTTTGTCATTATGGGGTATTGTGTGTAGATTAATGAGGGGAAAAAACTATTTAATCAATTTTAGAATAAGGCTGTAACATAACAAAATGTGGAAAAAGTCAAGGGGTCTGAATACTTTACGAATGTGCTGTAGAAATATATCAACAATTAATCATACATCTTCTACGAGTTGTGTTTACAGATCTTATCTAAAATATGTCAAAATCAGATCAGATGTATTACGTAAGGGGGATAGGCTATAGCAGGACAGAAAGTCTACTTTTCTCTCCCGAGACAGTGAGACAGTGAGACAGTCCTGCTGCTGGTCTAGAGTAAGATGTTGGAACCACAAAGATTTTTCCTATGTGGGCGGAAAGGAGGAAATGCATGAACTGGTCACTCCATGGCTGTGTTTACACAGGCAGCCCAATTCTGATATTTTCCCCAATTTTTGGCAAAAGAGCTGATCTGATTGGACAAAAGACCAATTACTGAAGAAAGATCAGAATTGGGCTGCCTGTGTAAACGCAGTTTATGTAAAGTACACTTCTGAATGATGGTTATAGTCATGTACAGACTGTGTCTTATTCCCCCGTCTTTAAAGTGAGAAAGGAAATAGTGGACCTTGCAAAGATACCAGTGGGCATGGTGTCAGACATGCTTCCCCCATTTGTCCAGAGGAGTTACTTTTATTGTAAATAAGAATATAATGTGTTTCTAAACACTTCTACATTAATGTGGATGCTACCATGATTATGGTTAGTCCTGAATGAAATGTGAATAATGATGAGTGAGAAAGTTACAGACCCACAAATATCATACCACCAAGACATGCTGACTCCAAAATGACACAATACATTATTTATAATTAATTTCTATTGGGCACAAAATAATCTGAAACACAACCAAAACAAACAGCAAATGCATCCAACAAATGTGTAGAGTCACAAGCTTGATGTAGTCATTGCGTACTATGAATATGGAACCAAACACTTAACTTTTTACTACTGTAATACACATATAACTGCATTTCTCCAAATACTATTGGTCCCCTAAAATGGGATAACTATGTACAAAAAGTGCTGTAATTTCACCCGATATGGATGAAAATACACTCAAATGAAAGCTGACAGTCTGCACTTTAACCCCATAGTCATTGTATCATTTCAAATCCAAAGTGCTGGAGTACAGAGCCAAAACAACAAAACATGTGTCACTGTCCACTATTGTCTGTTTAGTAATGACTGAATAAGGTGAAAAATGAATTAAATCAAGTTAATTTGTGAGAACCCTATAGATTCTGGGATAAGTCTTTATCCCTGGCCTGTGGAAAAAAAAGCTACCGGTCTGACTTTACAGAAACAGATGTAACAGCTGGAATAGCGGATTTGCATTATAAACTCTCTGTACGTGCATTAACAGTTTGCAAAGTTTGAATAACAAATACAACGTTTTTTCTTTTAACTTTTTCTTTTACTTGGCCAGTGTACTCTATTAACAGATGTGTGTAACGAGGGAGGCTTGGCATCTCAATATAACGGCTCCCTGGATTTTTTTAGCAGTATAATAATAAATATGCCATTTAGACAGTTACTTACTTGTCTAGCACAAAATACAAGTCGAAAGCCCCCTGACATGTACTTTCCTCTCGTTCTTCTTCTACTTCTTGCTCTGGTTCAGCATTTACAGATGCTAAAGTGAACATAAAAAATCCAAGGAAAAGTAGGGCAAGAGACATTTTTCCCCCAAACCTCGCCATCTTTTCCCCCAAAAAACGAAAATTCTTCAAAAGCTCAATGGAACTAAGTCAATGCTGTCTCACATCCCCAATGTCTTGAAATTACTTCTCTAGGCAGAGATACATAACTGACAAAAAATACGGTCAATGCTGCGCGGGAGAAACCTGTTGACCTCAGTTTCCAAACATTACAGACCGCCTGCCTCCTGACAAATATTGGATGGGCGGTGAAGGCGAATCTACCATACCAAAGCTTGCAGTACTTTGTTCTCTTCTTAAAACATAGAAAATAATTTGTTCAGAGTAATTTTACTCTCCGATATAATCCTGTCATATTCGTATGATAAAACAATCGTGGAGTATTTGAGAAACAAATCTAAAATGTTTCAATGGGTTAGAATATATGTGGATAATTCACAAATAGGCAAGTTTCCTGTGAAAATGGTCAATACGAGTTTTAGTTAAAAAAGCAAAATGGAGACGGGCAATGTTAAGAACCTGGAGCTCGGGAACAAACTTGGCAGAAATGAACCAGGTTTCATATTTCTGCCTGGAGCTAAAAAATAAAAAAAGGTCGAGATTCCATCTTGCACCTCCCTCTCAAGAAGCTAATTTTGGGGAAACATATGCCTGCCTCTGCATCGACAAAGAAATGATGAGCTGCAGCATCCACTGATGTCTTCACACCAAAATCCCATCTGTCCTGAATGTTATTATTGTAGGCTTATAGAGTAGCACAGTATGAGTCATAATACCCATAAAACCTAGCGGTCAAACAAGGAAATGGTTCCAATCGTTTTTCCAATCGGGGATTTTAGAAACACTTCAAATAAGGGCTGAGTTTCGTGTAGGCTTACCTTGGCGTGACGTTTTGATAACCGTTTAAATCTCTATAGGACAAGGTGACTTTTATCAATATATTCGCCTGTATTTACCCCCCAAAATGAAATGATAATTAGCTGCTAATGTGGCTAAAGAACTACAAATGCCATGATATGATCTGGACGAGTGTGATGCGTGATTTGAAAGAGTCAGGCGCAGGAGGGTAAATCACAGTTTATTCAGTAATACAGCGTTAACCAGTCCAGTGCGCAAAACAGGCGCACTGGAACAAACAGGCACACAGGGAAAATACCCCGGCAATACAAAATACACTGAGCTAAACCGAGCTACTATCTCCTCACAATAAACAATCACCCACAAGGACAAGGGGGCAGAGGGAACACTTATACATGTACTAATGAGGGGATATGAACCAGGTGTGTGTAATAGACAAGACAAAACAAATGGAATGATGAGATATGGAGCGGCAGTGGCTAGAAGGCCGGTGATGACGAACGCCGAAGCCTGCCCGAACAAGGAGAGGAGGCAGCTTTGGAGGAAGTCGTGACAGTACCCCCCCTTGACGCCCAGCTCCAGCAGCGCGCCGACACCGGCCTCGGGGATGGCCAGGAGGACGCGGAGCAGGGCGAGCCGGATGGCGACGGTGGAAATCCCGCAACAGAGAGGGATCGAGGATATCCCTCACCGGGACCCAGCACCGTTCCTCCGGACCGTACCCCTCCCACTCCACGAGGTACTGAAGGCCCCCCACCCGATGCCTCAAATCCAGGATGGAACGGACGGAGTACGCCGGGGCCCCCTCGTTGTCCAGAGGAGGCGGAGGGACCTCCCGCACCTCAGACTCCTGGAGCGGACCAGCCAGCACCGGCCTGAGGAGAGACTCATGAAACGAGGGGTTAATAAGATAATCATGGGGGAGTAATAACCTATAGGTAACCTTGTTGATTCTCCTCAGGACTTTGAATGGCCCCACAAACCGCGGGCTCAGCTTCTGGCAGGGCAGGTGGAGGGGCAGATTCTGGGTCGAGAGCCAGACCCGATCACCCGGTACGAAGATCGGGGCCTCACTGTGGTGGCGGTCAGCGTTGGCCTTCTGACGATGCACGGCGCGTTGGAGGTAACGTGAGCAGCATCCCACGTCTCCTCCGCGTGCCGAAACCAGTCATCCACCGCAGGAGCCTCGGTCTGGCACTGATGCCACGGTGCCAGAACCGGTTGGTAACCTAAAACACATTGGAATGGCGTTAGGTTAGTGGAGGAGTGACGGAGAGAGTTCTGGGCATATTCGGCCCATGGCAAGAACACCGACCACTCCCCCGGCCGGTCCTGGCAGTAGGACTGCAGGAACCTACCCACATCCTGATTTACCCATTCCACCTGCCCACCTCCCCGGGATGTATGATAGTGTGAAATCAAACCGGGTGAAGAATAGGGCCCACCTGGCCTGGCGAGGATTCAGCCTCCACTTCACCTGACAGAGGTTGCTCTCCAGTTTTGTGATGAAACGAAGGCGTTGTTGAATTTATTCTGCCAATGTGTCGTCTTATTGTCTCGGCCTTAGGCCTATATATCACGGTCTCAAGGCATATAAAAATATAAAAAATATAAATAAATAAATATGAATTAACAGGTTATAGAGTAAACAACGCAATTATCATGTTTTATTTTTCTGGCTTGTCTTCCCCAGTGATTTTATGCAAAAATCATGCAACTGTTCCTTACAAGCCAGAATGTTTAATACAATTACATTTAAAGGTGCACTATGCAAAAAGCGCGCCGGCGTTTCCTGTTTGCAAAAATTCAAATAGTTTATGTGACAAAACAAGCAAGTATAGAGTGGAGAATCATTGTACCATCTAAACCGCTGTGAAATATCTTGTCCTAACCAAAAATATTGTATTTTCAGCTGTTTGAAACTGGTGTACGAAACCGAAAGTAAAAAAAATGCTAAAACAAAACTTAAGAATGGGAAGCATAGAAATACTGCACATAGAAGAGATCTACTACTTCTTAGACATGCTTTCATTGAGAATGACAGATCTATTTTTGTATTTTATTTAACTAGGCAAGTCAGTTAAGAACACATTCTTATTTACATTGCGGCGCACTTGTAAAGCCCCCCCCCAGGCCAAACCCTCCCCTAACCCAGACGACGCTGGGCTAATTGTGCGCCACCCTATGGCACTCCCGATCACGTCCGGTTGTGATACAGCCCGGGATCGAATCCGGGTCTGTCGTGACACCTACTAGCACTGCGATGCCTTAGACCGCTGCGCCACTCGGGAGCCCAATTTATAACTCACATTTTGGTCGGGTCGCCCAAAAAGTTACATATTGCAGCTTTAAACTCTACCTGTTGTCTGTGCGGTTTGTCCTTTAGCTACTCAAAATTTGAGACAAAATATCCACAGGAAAGTATTGTTTACTCAACTTTTTAGAGAGCCGGAAGGTATAGGCTATGTTTCAGTTCGGCACCGAGATAAAGTTTGTTTTATATTTATATTGTACCTGTCTGCTGCCTTTGATACTGTGAACCATCAGATCCTCCTCTCCACCCTCTCCGAGCTGGGCATCTCCGGCGCGGCTCACTCTTGGATTGCGTCCTACCTGACCGGTCGCTCCTACCAAGTGGCGTGGCGAGAAGCTGTCTCCGCACCACGTGCTCTCACCACTGGTGTCCCCCAGGGCTCAGTTCTAGGCCCTCTCCTATTCTCGCTATACACCAAGTCACTTGGCTCTGTCATATCCTCACATGGCCTCTCCTATCATTGCTACGCTGACAATTCACAACTAATCTTCTCCTTTCCCCCTTCTGATAACCAGGTGGCGAATCGCATCTCTGCATGTCTGGCAGACATATCAGTATGGATGACGGATCACCACCTCAAGCTGAACCTTGGCAAGACGGAGCTGCTCTTCCTCCCGGGGAAGGACTGCCCGTTCCATGATCTCGCCATCACGGTTGACAACTCCGTTGTGTCCTCCTCCCAGAGTGCGAAGAGCCTTGGCGTGACCCTGGACAACACCCTGTCGTTCTCCGCTAACATCAAGGTGGTGACCCGATCCTGCAGGTTCATGCTCTACAACATTCAGAGAGTACGACCCTGCCTTACACAGGAAGCGGCACAGGTCCTAATCCAGGCACTTGTCATCTCCCGTCTGGATTACTGCAACTCGCTGTTGGCTGGGCTCCCTGCCTGTGCCATTAAACCCCTACAACTCATCCAGAATGCCGCAGCCCGTCTGGTGTTCAACCTTCCCAAGTTCTCTCACGTCACCCCGCTCCTCCGCACACTCCACTGGCTTCCAGTTGAAGCTCGCATCTGTTACAAGTCCATGGTGCTTGCCTATGGAGCTGTGAGGGGAACGGCACCTCCGTACCTTCAGGCTCTGATCAGTCCCTACACCCAAACGAGGGCATTGCGTTCATCAACCTCTGGCCTGCTGGCTCCCCTTCCTCTGCGGAAGCATAGTTCCCGCTCAGCCCAGTCAAAACTGTTCGCTGCTCTGGCACCCCAATGGTGGAACAAGCTCCCTCACGACGCCAGGACAGCGGAGTCACTCACCACCTTCCGGAGACATTTGAAACCCCACCTCTTTAAGGAATACCTGGGATAGGATAAAGTAATCCTTCTACCCCCCCCCCCCCCCCCCCCCCCCCCCCCCCCCCCCCCATAAAAAGTAAATTAATAATAATAATAATATTGTAAAGTGGTTATCCCACTGGCTATAGGGTGAATGCACCAATTTGTAAGTCGCTCTGGATAAGAGCGTCTGCTAAATGACGTAAATGTAAATGTAAATGTAAATGTATATTCGGTTTTCTCTCATCAATAGCTATTTCACTAAGCATGCCATGACAATAACAAATATATATTCTGGGGCTGTTATGATATTTTCCCGCTTTGTTGGGCTCACGCGAGGATGACAGGTAGCTTTAAAAAGGCCTATTGCCTAATTAGGAAATAGGCTGCCCTATCTATGATTTATAGTCCCAACCTACAGCACTAGAATAAACTTCACTTGCGTCATCCTTTTGGTATTAAAGGGATACTTCGGAATTTTGGCAATGAGGCCCTTTATCTACATCCCCAGAGTCAGATTAACTCCTGGATATAATTTTTATGTGTTCAGTATAAAGGAAGTTTGAGGTAGTTTCATGAGCAAATGCTAACTAGTGTTAGCGCAATGACTGGAAGTCTATGGGTATCTGCTACCATGCTCATTGCCATAATCCCGAAGTATCCCTTTAAGAGATAAACATGGTAATGCTTTCACTGATTGCACATAAAGGAAGATAGTTCCTACATGATAGAGTGCTTGCTTTGTTATCCAACTGATCTTGTGTCCTTTCTGTCATCCTGTGAACCCCGTTCATTGCTGCTCGCAGCTATATTTCTTGTTTCTGTATACTTCTCTAGACAAACAAAGTTAATAGATTTATTCAAGATAAAATCTCACCTCCTGTAGGTTACCACTGACTTGTAACCTACCTTAACCCTTGTTTACTGGGCTGGCCCTACCAGTTAATTACCACTCTGGAATGATGTGACTATGTAAATGTCATGTAATTAACCTACACATTTGTAATGACATGCAATTACTGGGACTGTAATGAACACCTAATATGCTGATTGGCACATTCTCATCCTCTCTCAGTAACCTAAGAGGTTGAATATTGAAGAGCCAAGCAGGTAGAAGCTGTAGTGATGTCCACAGTATTTAAGCCATAGCCAGCAAGCTGCTGCAGGTACCACATGAGTCAGCTGTAAAGCAAAGTTACGCCTCCAGAGACAAGCAAAGCAAGCATTATCAAATGAAAGTGATGACTGCAGGAAAACTGGACATCTGTCTTAACATGTATTTCTCATTGATCATTTTCCCCATTCCACTATGTAGGTGTAAGACACAATGGAAACATACAGTACAGTGCATACAGTACTTTAAACACACACACACACACACACACACACACACACACACACACACACACACACACACACACACACACACACACACACACACACACACACACACACACACACACACACACACACACACACACACATACACACACACACACACACACACACACACACATACACACACACACATACACACACACACACACACACACACACAGCTAAACTTTAGCTACTGTATGTGGTCTGTGATCAGCTTCATTAGGGGTCAATCCTAACGGACGGGGCTTGGACCCCTGTCCCTTGGCTCTGCACGTGTTTATGTACGGTGGTATTCCCTGCGTACTGTATCCTGTTTAATCCTTGTGTTTTGAAAATGCAGGTCTTGCGCTTGCCAAATGCTGGCCCATTCTCTATCACTGATCAGTATCTGTATGTGCCTCTGTACTGCCATCTCATGGGTGGAATGGATTTGCATCCCAGTGGTTGAATAGAATGGTGTAGATTGGTGTAGAAAGAGACAAAGGGAGTAAATTGAATTATATTGGCTGATGAATATTTCCTCCAACAGAAAACGAATAAACTGTGTTTGTGTATTACAGGCCAAGTTGAAACTGCAGGAAGCAACTAGAATGGGTAAGTAATACTTGAATTGACAGACAATGATAATTGTTCTGGGAAGGTTTTAAATTCTCATCTGATTGAATAGTTTTAGTAAAATGCTTTCGCTGCTTAGAGCTGAAATACAGTTTATCTCAGGCATAATCTCACTAATTTGTTGGTATGGATTATTACAAGAGGGTGTAATGGAAAGTTGTGTAACAATGGCTGGGATTGATTCCATTTTGTTGGTGTGTTTAATTGCCATCAGGAGAAAATCTGGTAGGATTTGTAGTTATTCCATTGTGGGGCAAAAATGTGTTTGGTGTTATATAATATAAAAAGCTGCTTGGTTTTCTTGATCAACTCCTAACCTCTGTTATAAAACAATACACAGATGTATTATTGTGTTTCCATTGCCTTTATTGTGTCCCGCCATTGGAATTGATACAACCCAAATTGCCTCACATGGCAAGTCACCATGTATGCACTTCTTCCCATACACAGCAAAAAGACCCTGCATCAAATTTAAGAGTGCTCCCCCAAAGGACAGGACAATTTGTTTGTAAAGGTCCTAACAATGGCATTTGAAATTATATTAGTATATCATAGGAAAAGCAAATATGTCATTACAAATATTTCAGCATTTGATTCAATGCTGCTTTTTAAACTAGTTTCAGCTTTCATGTACTCGCGCAATTTACAATTCACATTATTTTTGACAGCCAAAGATAGAATCTGCTTTGACAAAACATAGCCACAAAGGCTAGTGGATCAGGAACTCAAACACAATCATAGTTTATGAACCACTCCTTTAAGAGTCACATTTCAGTATACCATTTAAAATTACTCACTCTTTCTTTAATCCTTCTACAATCACAGTAGTTTTCAGAAGTAAAAACGATAAGTAAAAACAAACCACAATCTGGTTCAGAACCTCTCACATTTTCTTGCAAAACGAGAACACTACAACAGGCTACAGAAAGAAGGTTTAGGTGCAGAGGCTGGCTGCCTAGATTTGGTCAATTACATTGAACGGTACCCTACACACTTCTCTCCTCTGAGAACATCTTAAACCCCTTTGGCTGCCAACATCCTCGGTCGGAGACTTCACTTCTTTGCGCCGGCGAAGTGCTTGTTGAGGATGCCCTTGGCGGTGTCCAGGGCTGCGTCGGCTGGCACGGGGATGTGAGGGGTGACCCCGGCACCCTCCCAGGCGGGGCCCTGGGCTGTGTCTGAATGGGTGGTGGGGATGCTCAGGAACACGTTGCTCTCGCCCACGCGGAAGGTCTCAGGGGGGTGTGAGGCGCCGTTGGTGGTCTCGCCCACTACCATGGCCCGACCATGCTTCTTCATGATGTAAACGAACTCCTCGGCGGCGCCGGCCGTGGTTCTGCTGATCAAGATGATCAGGCTCTTCTTGGTGCCGTACCTCGCACCTGAGAGAGAAGACGAGAGTCATTTTCATCTGCTGACAGCGCACAATTGTATTCTGCTTGATCCAAATCGAAAAAACTCATTATACAGTGCACATTATGAAACTTGGGAGTTTATTACCAGTGAGCTCAGGTAGAGTCCACAGCTCCTTAGTGGTGCCAGACGGTCTGTCGTACAGTTTGTCCAGCAGGACCTGCTTGTCTGCATCAAAGAAGTAGGAGCAGAAGCCCGCAATGGCAGTGGTAGGCCCGCCTACGTTGTTCCTGCAAAAACAATTATACAAACTCATTCAATATAAAAGATGAACATGTTGGAAGCCTTTCCCTATGGTCCAACTGTCCCCATTTAACCCAACTAAATGGTAAGCCACTCGCTAACTCTGTTAATCTTAGTGAACATAAATATGTTCCTCTAGTTGCTATGCTCGTAAATTGAGCTTTGAGTTTCACTATAAAGAGAAGTCTTACAGATGTAGGATCTTAATTTGAGCCAGTTTGCCACAGCAGGAAAATAAACATGCAGCAACAGTAAATGTGAATTATTATGGGGATTATAGTTAATGGACATTTTTGTAGGGTTTATACATTTTTCGTAAGGGAAAATCAAGTCTGAAAATTCAAAGTGGAAATTACAAACTTCAGAAGCCTTTTAAAACCTCAAATACACTACTAGTTTTACATTTCCTGCATTGCAGGAAAGTTCTTCTGCAACAGTGTGATCAAATTAAGATCCTACATCTGTACCTGAGATCAACAATCAGAGCATCAGTGTTAACAACTTTGTTCCACACATGCTCCACGATGATCTGGGCAATGGCCTGAACCTCCTCGAAGTTACCAAACATGTCAAAGCGCAGATAGCCAATGTTGTTCTCAAACAGATCCGTGTGGAAGGAGACCTTGATCAGCTCAATGAACATCTCTGGAGATGGGTTCTGAAATCAACATAAATGTCTCAAAATTGTCCCCCTAATTAATATGCAATGTTATTCTACTAGATTTCTACTGAAATTAACAGAAAATTATTTCAGGCAAATATTCATTAAAAAAAAGTTTCTCTCTGGATTCACATAAAAGTATTCTCTATAGATAAATGTATTACATAGGCTACAAATACAATACAACATAAAATCTCTTACCATTGGTGGCAGGGGTGAGGTGTTGTGTGTGGTCTTCAGGCACTTGTCTCCAGACAGTGTCATGAGGTCAGCGGAGAGTTTTGTCTCCAGATCCACCTTTGAAGAAATTAAGTTGTAGTCACCGCTCGCTGCTGCTAGCTTCTCGGCAACGTCCGCTCCGACATTCTCAAAGGCGTAGTTGTTGGCCACCAGAGCGCCAGTTGCCTCGAGAATGGCAGGGATCTCGGCACGGAGGTTAATGATCTTAATGGCAGCGGCCAGGGCATCTTCAGCATCGACCTCAACATCGGGCGTCACGCCGGTGACCTCCCAAGACTTCCCTGTGATGGGGTTAATGGACTTAGCCGAGGGCACTGTGACATAGAAGTCTGTGTCCCCAATCTTGATCTTGTCAATTTTCACGGACCCGCCAGCGGTTTTCTCCCCGACGATTGTGGCCCTCTTGAGGTTCTTCAGACAGTAGGCAACGTCCTCTGCAATTCCCTTGGTGTGTGCACTAGTCAGGATGATGAGGGATTTCTTGGTTCCGTACCTCTCGCCCAGCAGTGTGGGCATGGACCACATCTCGGTGGTGGTGTCGGAGGGACGGTCGTACACGCTGTCGATGTGAATCAGAGGCTCGGCATCGGTGAAATAAGACACAATGTATGGGATGCCCGACAGATCCCCGCTGCCTGTGTAGCGGAGGTCAAAGATCAGAGCGGACGTGGGCAGAATCTTTTTCCAGACCAGCTCCAGGAGGAGGGTGCCGATCTTGTCGGCCAACTCCTCCCCGATGATGTGGTCGATCCTCAGGTAGCCGATGTTGCCCTCCAGGACCTCCAGCTTAATGGAGCTCTGGAGCACGCCGATAAGCTGGTCCGGGGGCAGGGGTGGCAGGGCAGGGGCTACCGCAGGGACGTAGTTGGGCTCATGGGAGACAACCAGTCGGGGGTCGTTGATGGTACTCTGGACCCCACCGGTCAGGACAGAGGCGAGAGTGTCGGGGTCGGGGATGCTGAGGATCTCTGTATTGCTGCTCGCAGCGTCGATGGCCTCCTGCATGCCAGTCAGCTTCTCCGGGGAGCAGTAGTTGTCCAGGAGAATTTTAGCCATGTCTACAATCAGGTTGGGTGCAAAAGCGCTGTGGATGGCAACATTGCAGAAGACCAGCACTGATGCCAACAAGAGGAGAGACTTTGCCATCTTGTCTGGTTTTCTAGATTGCAGTAAACCACAGTAGTAGCCACTCTGCTGTGGAACGTACGTCTGCAAAGAGGTCCTTGGTCAAATGAGACTGTTTCTCCTGAAAGTTTTCTGTTAACACACACACAAGGATTTTCCTCACAATAAACCTTTAATCGTATTATCCCGAGTGCTTTGGTAAGACAATGGCAAGCTAACAATGTAGGTGCAACATGTTGCCCAAGATATAGATGTTAAATATATATTTGTTGCTATGCATGTGAGGTAAGGTTTGACTAGACACAAAAATCTGCTGTGATTATACTTGGTGGAAATATTCACATTACTGTATGTGCTATACATTTGTGCATATTTTTCTTTTGATTAAAAAGGCTCACTGATTGAAGATCATTGTTAACTGGATAAATATTGTTTTCAAAATTAATGTACTATTTTGTTTGTACCTTATAATTAGGCCTTATGTTGGTCAGTAAGTTGATCTGAAGTGTAATGTTACTTGTGACTGTCCTTATACCATATTTAGGATTATAATCTCTCACTCATGCTGCACATAATGCTGCCTCAATCAGCATTATCCTTAGAACATAGAAATTATACTTAGAACATAGAATGTATACTTAGAACATAGAACTTATACTTAGAACTTAGAATTTATTCTTAAAACTTAGAACTTAAAATAGTCAAGTCGTCCACCCCCTCCCCTTTCTTAATGTCCCGTTGGCTGACCCTATTTTATGGTCTGTAAATATGACATTGAGCTCTGAATAGTTTGTCTCAGGTAATTAATAACTCACAGGTTTATTCAACAGTTTAGTGTTGATTAAAAATCAAAGGAAACTTACCAGGAAGCAATAACATTTGCTCTACAGTTATATTCAACCTACTATACCAGTGTAAAATAGAAAATGGGTATTTCCTCTATTTGGTCATGACACTATTCGTAATCTCTTGTGGACAAACTACGTAAACATAAATGGTACCATAGATCTGTCATGAAACAATGGGATGCTCTTCGTTCCGGTTCTGATCCTTGTTCTATTGTCTTTTCTCTTAACATGTATGGACCCAGAACTTAATCAAGCATGTGACCAATTACGCGAGACTGGGTTAACCGAGATTACACTATTCACAATGAGTTAATGTGGTTATCGTTGATGCTATTACACAACAGGAGAACTGAGTACAGTAGTTCACAACAGGTTTGTATGGGAAATGCTCCCTCTACTGACTGGCTGAAGACTCTTCTACATTATGTGACTTGACAAATGACAAAAAGGAGAAATAACAAATGAATTTAAAAGCAGATTAATATAGAAGTATAAAGTATTTGCGATAAGCAAATGAAGTACATGATAGTACAATGAAAATAAATATCAACCCTGTCTCCTCACCCATATTTAGGCCAACACAAATGTAGCCCAAAGAGTTACATCAAAGAGATTAAAAATACATTTAGATATTCATGAAATATGAATAGGAGGATTTACTACTAAATCTAATCAAATTTCTCATACAAAATGACGCACAGAGGGGTTGATCAAATTCATCGAAGGCAACTCATTTCATCCAAGTCCTGCGACAGTTATTGATCTGTATATTTTCAGGTGCAAAAATAACGCTTTCATAAGGTGCCTAAATGATTAGTAATGTGCAATCTACTATTTGAAGACTTTCAATAAGAGAACCAAAATAGCTTTCCTGTTTTCTGTCCACCTTATTGTTTGGGGTGGTTATATTATACCACAGATACATTATGTCAGGTTACAGAAAAATAATGGTAATAAATAACATTTCTGTGAGAAATTACACAGGAAAATAACATAATTCACAAATACAGGACAAACAAAGTAAACATTTAAAGGAAAGAGAAGTTAAAACATGACCACTATTTCCCTTTATCTCGCTTTAAAAGCCTGGCTGCAATGATTCTCTGTGCAACACTCAGAGCATCATTTGCCTGGGCAGCAACGTGTGGCTCGACCCCAGAGACACTCCACACCTTCCCAGTAACAGCACTCAGGACCACCTGGTTAGGTATGGAGGCATACAGGATACTATTCCCGATCTGGTAGGTGCCGCTGGACAGGGACCCTCCGATGGTCAGCTCCCCGATCACCATCGCCCTGTTCAGGTCCTTCATGGCCCGCGTGAATGCCTCGGCTGCTGACCCCGTCATGTGACTAGTGAGGATGTAGATATCTTTGGTGGAGCCGTACCTCTGACCCTGGATCTGAGGCAGGGTCATGACCTCGGTCATGGTGGTTGTAGAGCGGTCAAAGACGGTGTAGAGGTGTCTCAGGGGCTCAGCATCAAAGAAGTAGGTACAGAGGAGTGGTATGGCTGTGGAGTAACCACCTGTGTTGTATCTCATGTCGATGATCATTGTGTCCGTGTTCACCAGCTTGCTCCAGACCAGTTTGATCAGCTGAGGGCCGATGGCTCTCATCACTTCTATGTCTGCCATCATATCGAACCTCAGATAGCCCACGTTCCCGGGCATCACCTCGATCTTGAACAGAGTGTCAATGATGTAACCCACCTCCTGAGCTGTCGGGATTTTTGGCATATCATGCAGAGACTCGGGTTCGACGTCGCAGTAGAATATGTGCAGCCGGTGGTCGCCTGACGTCTCCTGGAGGTCAGCTGTTAGCTGGGATGCCAGAGACTCATAGTCGACCACCGATCGATACGAGCCCTCGGCCCATTTGGTGAGCAGCACTCTACTGAGCTTGTTGGCGACCTCAGGGATGGCATAGTGTACTTCCAGGAGCTTCCCCGTCCCCTCCACCAGTGAGAGAACCTCCCTGTGAAACTCTATTATCCCATGGGCGTGGTCCACGGCTTCCTCAGCAAGCACTATGGCATCGGGGACCACGCCTCCACCTAGCCAGCACTCGCCGTTGTTGTCTATGAAGTTTATGAAGGGGACAGTGATGACAATGTCCGTGTCTTCCACCTGGAATGACTTGGAGTGCATCAGGGTCCCGGATGTGATTTCCCCGATGAGGGTGCCACGGTGCAGCGACTGCATCAGATAAGCAAATTCCTCCCCTGCACTGGCGGTATAGTGACTAGTCAGGATGTACACTCCACGTTTAGACCCGTAGGGTGGGCCTGGGAGGCCGGAAAGAGTGTTAAACTCAGTGGTGGTGTTCTGGATCCTGTCGTATATGGTGAAGAAGTGGAACTGTTGTGACGGGTCTTGGAGGAAGGAGAGCAGGATGCCCATGGAAGCTGAGGACCCACCTGTGTTGTATCGCAGGTCGATGATGAGGTTCTCTGTGTCTTTGAGGGCCTCCCAGATTTTTTGGCCAATCTGCTCTCCTAATTTGACCATCACTGACACATCTCCAAACTTGTCGAAGCGGAGATAACCAGTGTTTCCAGTTAGGATGCTTACTTTGAAGATTGTATCCACCAGGTTCCTGAGAAATGCTGGATCGCCTGGTATGTTCTCAGGTTCAAAGTCTTCCTCAATAATAACTGGGTGATCTTGGGTCAGTTTGATCATCAGACGAGGGTCCTCTGACACAGACTGCAGTTCATTGTTGAGTTTATTCGCCAGGTCCTCCTCTGAAATGACAGAGAAGAAATCAGTGGATTCCAGATGTTGAAGGAAAGCCGGTACTCTGTCTGTGAATGAGTAGTACTGCCTGATGATGTCAGAGACGCTCTGGACGGCCCTTGGAATGGCACTCCTGACAGACAGTAGATTTTGGGCATTAGCAACAGCCTCCTTGGCATTGATATGTACAGAGGGAGAAACTCCACTCACTTCCCAGCTTTGGCCTGTTATTGGGTTCACTGACCTGGCCACTGGAATCGTGATGTAGAAACCAGAATCTCCAATTCTTATCTTCTCAACTTTCACTGACCCCCCGGCTGACCTCTCTCCAACAATGATCGCCCTCTTCAAATGCTTCAGAGTGTAGGCGACTGCCTCAGCCGCTCCCATAGTACGCTTACTGGTTAATATGATGAGGTCCTTTTGCTTTCCATACCTCTCTCCCATGATAGATGACATAGTCCACAGCTCCTTAGTGGTGTTAGAGGGTCGATCGAACACTGTGTCAATGTGAATGAGAGGTTCTGGGTCGGAAAAGTAGGAGATGATGAAAGGGACTCCGGACAGCTCCCCAGCTGTGCTGTAGCGCAGATCAAAAATTAACGAGGAGGTGTGGGCGACCTTGTTCCAGATGTTGTCCTGGAGCAGCGGGCCAAGCTTGGCGGCCGTCTCCTCCCCTATAATCTGGTCGATCCTCAGGTAGCCCACGTTGTTTTCAAGGACCTCCAGCTTCACAGAGTTCCTTACCAGACGGATGAGCTGCTCAGTGGGGAGAGAAGGGAGGGCGGGCGGCATCACTGGGACAAAGTTTGGCTCGAAGGACACAGTTAGCCGAGGGTCATTGAGTGCACCCTGCACGCCAACCGTCAGCACAGATGCCAAGGTCTTGCGGTCAGATATTTTGAGGATTTCTCCACTGTTGATGGCTTGCTGAATGGCCTCCTGCATGCCGAGCAGATTCTCAGGGAAGCAGTAGTTGTCTAGTAGAATTTTTGCCATGTCCAGCACCAGAGCCGGCTGGAAGGAAGAGCTGCCAAAGAGAACATGGCAAAGAAGCACCAGCAGTGCTGGTGAGAACTGACCTCCTGCCATTATTGCGGAGAATGTTATATTTTATCTGCGTTATCCTGCTTTTTGGTCCATTCATTCAGAGGGACAGTCCTTTGTTAAGAGAGAATGTTTTAACCACCAGGTTTCGGACAACAACAATTACGTAAGAGGCTTTTGTTCCCAATAAACCTTTAATCGTATTATCTGCGGTGCATCCGCCAGCCAGTAACAGATCAAATATTTTTAATTGGAGATGTTACATCAAAGGTATTATAATGTACGTATTTAGGGATGCCACAGGATTATTGGAGTTTCCCTTTTCCACTTGCTTTATTTCATTTGTTTTATTACTGTGAAGGCTTCTGTGTGGATGTACAGTATTTAGTTTTATGCATCAAATACAAAACCTTCGCATTACATATTCTTTTTTTGAATTTCTATGATATGCACCACCATGTCATGCACAGACTTGAAAAAAAGGGATGAGATATGAAAAGAGATTAGATTAAAGAGGTAAAAGTCTACCGGATTAGTATGAAAGCCCCATGTGAAAGTCACAATCACTTATGAAAGCGTTGTGGTTCGGTGGAGAATAGGGCGTGTGAGGTCATGTCTGGGGCGCAGAGTGGATGACATGATTACGCAGTTTGTGTTCACGTATGTACGCCGCCTTAAACACAGAATGCAGGATGGAAACGGAAGATTCAACAGCAATGATTATAAAATGAACATTAACTACCATTTGTTTGAAAGTACTTATATATTCACTATTTACATTGCATGTTTGCATCCAGATTTTCACTTACTGAGTTTAGTGACATCTCCCCTGTGTTCATTTATCAACGGTGAATATAATTTAGGGTTGAGTGAGTTCAATACAAGTCTTTCAACACTGGGAATTTTTACAACACAGAATTACGCAACTACATATCGTCTAATGCTGCAGCACGGTGTGTACCGTTAATCTCGCCTTAACTTCTAATACCCATTCTTACATAAGCCCGTCTGGCGATTCCTCATGACCAATCAGGACCGGGAATCTCATTTTAAGACTCCGGTACATTGTTCACTGTGTCATTTGGGAGGGTTAGTGTTATCCGTGATCCTTGGGATGTCCCTATCCTAAACCCTAACCTTAATCCCTACCCTAACCCTAACCTTACCCATAACAATTACCTAAGTCTAACCTTAACCCTAACCATTTTAATGGGGTAAGGACGTCCCAAGGATACAGAAAAAGCAAGGACCCATTTGTGAGGGCATGTTTGGCACTAAAATGGATAGTGAGGAAGTCATCAGGGGGAGGAACTAATTTAGGCAATTGTGGTCTCTGTTAATTAGGCTAAAATCAGATGTCACGTCATGTTTTAATGGAAAGGTGATACACTACGTAGCCATCTAACATCTCATTCCAAAATCATGGGCATTAATATGGAATTGTTCTCCCTTTTGCTGCTATAACAGCCTCCACTCTTCTGGGAAGGCTTTCCACTAGATGTTGGAACATTGCTGCGGGGACTTGCTTCCATTCAGCCACAAGAGCATTAGTGAGGTTGGGCACTGATGTTGGGCGATTAGGCCTGGCTCGCAATCGGCGTTCCAATTCATCCCAAAGGTGTTCGATGGGGTTGAGGTCAGGGCTCTGTGCAGGCCAGTCAAGTTCTTCCACACCGATCTCGACAAACCATTTCTGTATGGACCTCACTTTGTGCACGTGGGCATTGTCATGCTGAAAAAGGAAAGGGCCTTCCCCAAACTGTTACCACAAGGCTGGAAGCACAGAATTGTCTAGAATGTCATTGTATGCTGTAGCGTTAAGATTTCCCTTCACTGGAACTAAGGGGCCTAGCCAAAACCATGAAAAACAGCTCCATCCGCCAAAACCAGATTAGTCCGTCGGACTGCCAGATGGTGAAGCGTGATTCATAATTCCAGAGAACGCGTTTCCACTGCTCCAGAATCCAATGGCGGCGAGCTTTAAACCACTCCAGCCAACGCTTGGCATTGCGCATGGTGATCTTAGGCTTGTGTGTGGCTGCTTGGCCATGGAAACCCATTTCATGAAGCTCCCGACGAACAGTTCTTGTGCTGACTTCCCGAGGCGATAGTGGTCCTCTGTAGCTCAATTGGTAGAGCATGGCGCTTGTAACGCCAGGGTAGTGGGTTCGATCCCCGGGACCACCCATACGTAAAAATGTATGCACACATGACTGTAAGTCGCTTTGGATAAAAGCGTCTGCTAATTGGCATATTATTATTGATAGTGAGTGTTGCAACCGAGGACAGACGATTTATACACGCTACGCACTTCAGCACTCGGCGGTCCCATTCTGTGAGATTGTGTGGCCCACCACTTCGCGGCTGAGCCGTTGTTGCTCCTAGATGTTTCCACTTCACTATAACAGCACTTACAGTTGGCCGGGGCAGCTCTAGCAGGGCAGAAATTGACTAACTGACTTGTTGGAAAGGTGGCTTCCTATGACGGTGCCACGCTGAAAGTCACTGAGTTCTTCAGTAAGACCATTCTACTGCCAATGTTTGTCTATGGAGATTGCATGGCGGTGTGCTCGATTTTATACACCTGTCAGCAACGGGTGTGGCTGAAATAGCCGAATCCACTAATTTGAAGGGGTGTCCACATACCTTTGTATGTATAGTGTATATTAAGACTGAGCTATATTTGTTTTTACTGTGAAGCGGTGATGTAAGTGTCTACGGCTTTCTCATCCCTTGACAAACATTTGCTTAATTGGGAGGGGAACCATCACCTCTGATTAGAATACATTGATGTGTATTGACTACTTTGTGTTGACTAATGTTCACAGCTGAAGTATGTCGGGATCAACATGTACTTAATATTTAGACGTATGTGCAGTATTTTAGTTGAATAATTACAAAAACAGTCAAAATAAAATGCAAGGAAGGAATGAAGGAGCAAGGAATATACATAAAAATACTGTTTATTGTCCACCTGTAGAGTGCGCTCTTTACACATTATTCAAAGAAGAACTTCTTTCAATTAATGTTAATTCATACAGTAGTACAACTTCAGTGGAGAAATACACTGTTATGTTATAGCGTGGTCTCTGACTCTAATACAAAACTAATGAGAACACTACATATTTAATTAAAGCAATAATTTAGAAGTCAGATTCAGAAATGCCCTCTTATAAAAAATACTTTCAAAATCTACTGTCATTAAACATGTAGAGCAAGATAGTCCTCTTAGTCAATTGATTAATAAACAACACTATGTACAAACTCTTTCAATATTATGATCATTTTGTTATCGATATCAAACAATTAATGCACACTGACTTCATAATAGATCCAATTGATGATCTCTTTTGTTTTCTAAAACCATTATAATAATGATAAAGGCTAATAAATCATGAAAAAATATTGTATTATAGGTTTTATTGATATTCTATACTGACTGAGTTTTCTGAGCATAATACTAAATAAGAGAACTCCAACACATCTTACAACAGGAATGTACAGATTTACAGAAAAGAGTTAAAGGGGACCACCATGGATGTTACCTCTCACTACCTACATCCACACTCTGCCACCTTCATCTCCTCGTACATATGTCGCACAGTGATGACACCATTCTCCTGGTACATGACCGTGATGGGGGCCAGTTTTGTGGGAACGCAACATGCCATGTTGGCTTTTTTGGGGTTCTTGAAATTGACCAGGGTTTGGATGAGGGTGTGTTTGGAAGGGGTCATGTCGTCATTCAGGGGGTAATAACATACCCCTCTACACTCAAAGGCATCATACTCAGGGGGCGCTACGATCCACTGGTCCCAGCCGATATCTTTGAATTTGACGCGCATGGAGGTCCGTCGGCAGTAGCTGGTGTCCCCCTGCCTCTTCCACCTGTGGTGTAAGTCCACGGGGATCTCATTGAAGTCGGGCCCTTGCCAGTCGCTCCCTGAGAAGAGCGTCTCTTCCTCATAGACTATCTCCTCCCTCAGCTCCTTCTTGGCTTCTCTCTTCCTGATCCCCAGGTCATCAGAGAAAACGATCAAAGCAGCTGACTGGTTATCCCCCACACCCATGCTCACGTCCAAACCTCCGCCTTTGAAATGCCCTCAGTCCCACCTGTCGACCACCACCTCAAACTCACTGGCCTCACGGCCCGATTTGACCCAACTCTGGATGGCGGTGGTCACATCGAAAGCTTCCCAAGAGTGATTGGCCCCAATGACCTCTTTCCCATTCACAAGGTGGGCTGTGACCTTGTTTCCTTTGTACTCCACTTCATAGACATTTATGGAAGCCCCGATCCCATTGGTGGTTGAGGTCACACTATTATCCAGCAGGGTGAACAGCCTGAGTTCCGCCATGGTGACCTCTTCGTGATTTGGGACAGTTACATTGAACAGCAGTCTGTGTTTTGACTTGGTGCCATTTTTTGCAGAGTGACTGACATCTGTGAAAGTAGGCAACAGGCATATGTAGTTTCATATTTGATATAACTTATTTGTTTCAATAGCCTTAGACGCACACAGGCATACAGTACTAACATAATGCCTTCAGAAAGTATTCACACCCATTTACATTTTAGTCATTTAGCAGACACTCTTCTCCAGAGCGACTGGCCCCCCGTGGGAATCGAACCCACAACCCTGGCGTTGCAAGCGCCATTCTCTTCCAACTGAGCTACACGGGGCCAACACCCCTTAACTTTTTCCACATTTTGTTGTGTTACAGCCTGAATTTGTTATTGTTTATATTGAGATGTTGTGTCACTGATCTACACACAATACCCCATAATGTCAAAGTGGAATTTTGTTTGTAGAAAAAATTTGAAATTTTGGGGGAAATTAAAAACTGAAATGTCTTGAGTCAATAAGCATTCAACCCCTTTGTTATGGCAAGCCTAAATAAGTTCAGGAGTACAAATATGCTTAACAAATCGCATAATACGTTGTATGGACTCATTCTGTGTTCAATAATTAACATGATTTTTGAATGACTACCCCATCTCTGTACCCCACACATACAATTATATGTAAGGAGCCTCAATCAAGTGGTGAATTTCAAGCAAAGATTCAACCACAAAGACCAGGGAGGTTTTTCAAAGAAGGGCGACGATTGGTAAATGTGTAAAAATAAAAAGAACTGACGCTGAATATCCCTTTGAGTATGGTGAAGTTATTAATTAGGCTTTGGATAGTTATCAATACACCCAGTCACTACAAAGATACAGGCGTCCTTCCTAACTCAGTTGCTGGAGAGAAAGGAAACTGCTCAGGGATTTCACCATGAGCCAATGGTGATTTTAAAACAGTTACAGAGTTTGATGGTTGTGATACTGTCACGCCCTGGCTCTGGGGACACTGTTATGTTGAGCCAGGGTGTGTAGATCTATGTTCCCTATTTCTATGTTGGCCTGAGTGACTCCCAATCAGAGGCAACGAGTGTCAGCTGTTTGCTGGTTGTCTCTGATTGGGAGCCATATTTAAACTGTCGGTTTTTCCTTTGTTTTTTGTGGGTTCTTGTTTCAAGTTGGTTGTGTTTGACCGTGTACTGTCACGTTAACGTCTTTGTTGTTTTGATCGCGTTTCGCTCAATAAAGAGTATGTTTGCCTGCAACGCTGCGCCTTGGTCCTCATCTGTTCCCGACGATCGTGACAGAAGAACCCACCAAGACAGGACCAAGCAGCGTGAAGAGGAGAGAGGATGGACCTGGGATCAGTGGAGTAGGAGTCTCGACTGGGCCCAGCCAAGTGAAGAGCAGAGAGGCTGGTCTATGGAGCAATGGATTAAGAGTCTCGACTGGGCCAAGCCAAGTGAAGAGCAGAGTGGTTGGACTTTGGAGCAGTGGGGTGAGAGTCTGGCGAGAACTAGGGAGGCCTGGTCCACGGGGAGGGGAGACACCCAGAATTTTTTTAGGGGGGGGCTCACGACGTGGACGTCGGGGCAGCAGGAGGCCGCGATAGAGCGGTCCAGCGGGTTGACAGAGGAGGCCGCCAGGTTACGGGGGCCACTGGTGTTAAAGGGGAAGGAAAGTGTGGAGGCACGGCGAGAGGTACTGGGGTGTGTTACCAGTCCGGTCCGGCCCGTTCCTGATCCCTGCATAGGGCCAGTGGTGTGTGTCCCCAGTACGGTCCGGCCTGTCCCTGTTCCTCGCATCGAGCCTGTGGTGCGTGTCGTCAGCCCGGCCCGTCCTGTTCCTGCTCCCCGCACCAGGCCAATGGTGCGCGTCGCCAGCCCGGCCCGTTCTGTTCCTGCTCTCCGCACCAGGTCAATGGTGCGCGTCGCCAGCCCAGTCCGGCCCATTCCTGATCCCCGCACCAAGTCTGTGGTGCGTCTCGTCAGCCCGGCTCGGCCCGTTCCTGCTCCCCGCACCAAGTCTGTGGTGCGTTTCGTCAGCCCGGTCCGGCCCGTTCCTGCTCTCCGCACCAAGTCTGTGGTGCGCGTCGCCAGCCCAGTCCGGCCCATTCCTGCTCCCCGCACCAAGTCTGGGGTGCGTTTCGTCAGCCCTGTCCGGCCCGCTCCTGCTCTCCACACCAGGCCAGTGGTGTGCGTCGTCAGTCCAGCACGGCCCGTGCCTGTTCCCCGCACCAAGCCAGGGGTGCGTATCGTCAGCCCGGCTCGGCCCGTTCCTCCTCCACGCACCAAGCCAGGGGTGCGCATCGTCAGCCCGGTCCGGTCCATTCCTGCTCCACGCACCAAGCCAGGGGTGCGTATCGTCAGCCCGGTCCGGCCAGTTGCTACTCCACGGACCAAGCCAGGGGTGCGCATCGTCAGCCCGGTCCGGTCCATTCCTGCTCCACGCACCAAGCCAGGGGTGTGTATCGTCAGCCCGGTCCGGCCAGTTGCTACTCCACGCACCAAGCCAGGGGTGCGCATCGTCAGCCCGGTCCGGTCCGTTCCTGCTCCACGCACCAAGCCAGGGGTGCGTGTCGTCAGTCCGGCTCCGGCCAGCGGGGCCAGACCGGACCAGGGGTACTTTGGGGGGTTGGAGAGGGAGTGGGGATCGGGCCCAGAGCCGGATCCGCCGCCAAGGCGGAGTGCCCACCCGGTCCCTCCCCTGTGGTATTTAGTTGGCGCGGTCGGAGTCCGCGCCTTTAGGGGGGGGTACTGTCACGCCCTGGCTCTGGGGACACTGTTATGTTGAGCCAGGGTGTGTAGATCTATGTTCCCTATTTCTATGTTGGCCTGAGTGACTCCCAATCAGAGGCAACGAGTGTCAGCTGTTTGCTGGTTGTCTCTGATTGGGAGCCATATTTAAACTGTCGGTTTTTCCTTTGTTTTTTGTGGGTTCTTGTTTCAAGTTGGTTGTGTTTGACCGTGTACTGTCACGTTAACGTCTTTGTTGTTTTGATCGCGTTTCGCTCAATAAAGAGTATGTTTGCCTGCAACGCTGCGCCTTGGTCCTCATCTGTTCCCGACGATCGTGACAGATACTGTATGAGAAAACTGAGGATGGATCAACAACATTGTAGTTACTCCACAATACTAACTTAAATAACAGAGTGAAAAGAAGGAAGCTTGTACAGAATACAAAATATTCCAAAACATGCAACCTGTTTGCAACAAGGCACATAAGTAATACTGTAAAAAATGTAGCAGAGAACATATAATTTTTCTCCTGAATACAAAGGGTTATGTTTTGGGCAAATCCAACACAACACATCACTGAGTACCACTCTTCATATTTTCAAGCATGGTGGTGGCTGCATCATGTTATGGGTATGCTTGTCATCGGCAAAGACTAGGGAGTTTTTCAGGATAAAAATAAACGGAATACAGATATAAGCACAGGCAAAATCCCAGAGGAAAACCTGCTTCAGTCTTCTTTCCAACAGACACTGGGAGGCAAATGAACCAACAACCTAAAACACAAGGCCAAATCTACACTGGAGTTGCTTACCAAGATGACATTGAATTGTCCTGAGTGGCTTAGTTACAGTTTTGACTTAAATAGGCTTGAAAATCTATGGCAAGACTTGAAAATGGCTTTCTAACAATGATCAATAACCAATTTGACAGAGATTGAAGAATAATAAGCAAATATTGTACAAAACAGGTGTGCAAAGCTCTTAGAGACTTATTCAAAAAGACTCACAGCTGTAATCACTGCCAAAGGTGTTTCTAACATGTATTGTCTCAGGGGGGTGAATACTTATCTAATCAAGATATATTAGCGTTTTATTTTTCATAAATATTTCATAAATGTTAGATTTTTTCTTCCACGTTAACATTACAGAGTATTTTGTGTAGATCGTTGACCAAAAATGACAATTAAATCCATTTGAATCCCACTTTGTAACACAACAAAATGTGGAAAAAGTCAAGGGTTGTGAATACTTTCTGAAGGCACTGTACGTACGTAAATGTTGTGTTAACTTATAAAAAACCCGGTAACGAAAGTCTTGTCCCCAAAATTAATTTTTGACTTGCTTATGTACATACCTTGAACGGTGAAGATGCGAATGACATCAGAACGAGGCATAGCGGACTTGTCAAAGGCATACTTGTTGTACAGTTCAATCATGAACGGAGGTGGGTATATCTTGCTGTGGTCTTGTGGGACATCTGATAAGTTGAGTTTCCTCAGAAACCCTTCCTTCATGTTTCCCAGAAAGCTCTGCAACCTGGAGTCCATGTCCTCCTCTTCGACCAGGTCCTGCTCGGAAGTCCCAGAGAAGCCCTCAGGATCTTTGCTTTGGAGGACATCGTTCAGTGACTTGCATCTACAGGACCCCATGGACACCAGCAAACTCAATCACATCTGGAAGAGGAAACGCCTTGAGCACTGCATCTTTAGATCAGATCCTTCCCAATCAACACGCTTTACCTTCCCAGTTCACACTATGTATTTAACACAGATTTTGGGTGACAATCTGTTGAAATTGAGATTCTTCTATGCTAGAGCTGGGGTCCGCTCCCATGCTCTAGAGTAAACAGTAGCCTCATTTCAACCAAAATAGTAGCACAGACATTCTTATCTTGACCGTTGATACTGTATCTTCATTTGGGCCTTGCTGTCATTAGGACCTTGCTGTCATTAGGGTCTTGCTGTCATTAGGGCCTTGCTGTCATTAGGGCGCTTGCTGTCATTAGGGCCTTGCTGTCATTAGGGCCTTGCTGTCATTAGGGCGCTTGCTGTCATTAGGGCCTTGCTGTCATTAGGGCGCTTGCTGTCATTAGGGCCTTGCTGTCATTAGGGCCTTGCTGTCATTAGGGCACTTGCTGCCATTAGGGCCTTGCTGTCATTAGGGTGCTTGCTGTCATTAGGGCCTTGCTGTCATTAGGGCCTTGCTGTCATTAGGGCGCTTGCTGCCATTAGGGCCTTGCTGTCATTAGGGCCTTGCTGTCATTAGGGCCTTGCTGTCATTAGGGCGCTTGCTGTCATTAGGGCCTTGCTGTCATTAGGGCGCTTGCTGTCATTCGGGCCTTGCTGTCATTTAGTCATTTAGCAGACGCTCTTATCCAGAGCGACTTACAGTTAGTGAGTGCATACATCATTCTTTTTTTATATATATATTTTTTTTTTACTGCCCCCCCGTGGGAATTGAACCCACAACCCTGGCGTAGCAAACGCCATGCTCAACCAACTGAGCTACATCCCTGCCGGCCATTCCCTCCCCTATCCTGGATGACGCTGGGCCAATTGTGCGCCGCCCCATGGGTCTCCCGGTCATGGCCGGCTACGACAGAGCCTGGATTCGAACCAGGATCTCTAGTGGCACAGCTAGCACTGCAATACAGTGCCTTAGACCACTGCGCCACTCAGGAGACTAGGGAGTCATTAGGGCCTTGCTGTCATTAGAGCCTTGCTGTCATTAGGGCCTTGCTGTCATTAGGGCCTTGCTGTCATTAGGGCGCTTGCAGTTAATGAAGATTCTGTAAACATTTGACAGACACACTGCTATAATGAGAGAGGGGCTGGAAATTGCGAGACTGCTGACAAACACTTTACTAAATTCTTCCCACTTGCTTCCCACTCGCGGGTCATAGCTAAGGCCGACGGAAATCACCGTAAATTAGGAGAGGCAGTAAAATACATAGTGAGAACCTTCCCTTATTGATACAGGGCATGTTTTCTTCAGAGTCTTTCAGATACATAAGCAATAACGATATCATATTTGTTCAACATAAAAAAACAGTAACACATTTACTTTGACATTTTAGTTACAGATTAAATTGGCAGCACTCAATAATAAAAAAATACAAAAAACCTCTTCATCACCAGTACACACAGTGGCTAGGATCCAGTGACATCCGAGGCAAATGTGTCTGGGGACTTTGGCCTGAGTCCTGGCACTTTCCAACAGGGTGTTTTGTCTCTGTCACACATTCAGGCAGACCCCCAGCCCCCCCCCCCCCCCCCATCTGTGGGATATCTTTATGAGTGAAGGCCAGTTAAATATCCTCTGACATGCATTTTCCGTAGAGAGAAATGCACCAGATAAACAAGTGATTTGGAAATTAAGGTACTTTCTTTATTTGAGTCTGAAATGAGTAACGCATTCCTTTAATTCTAATATTAGCCGCTTGACTAATACTGTAAATATGTAGGATGCTCTTTGTGTCATAAAACAATGATCCTCTTAGGCTGCATTTACACAGCGAGCCCAATTCTGATATTTTTTCCACTAATTGTTTTTTTGACCAATCATATCAGAGCTTTTCATATCAGCTCTTTTTCAGAGCTGACCTGATTGGTCAAAAGACCAATTAGTGAGAAAAAATATCAGAATTGGGCTGCCTGTGTAAACGCAGCCTATAAGGACTCAGGACAACGTCATCATAAAATGATTACAACCCCACACAATCTCCCAGGATTTTCATTATACATGTACACTTTATGTAGCATTCAGTTTATTTCCATTTAAGTTTAGCGTCAATCAAGGCCATATTTGGGCAATTAAAGCACAAATGATCAAAACCGGACAAAGCCTAAACAAAGGATAAATGCACAATTCACAATGTTGGAATAGTTACATAGCACAATATTCTCAACACTTTTGTGGTAGTTTGACGTTAATCAACTACAGTATGATGCTGAACATTTTGGATGTAATGACTTTGCACTAGTGGTCTATAAGTAACCAGAAATTAAGCTCTCTTTCCATCAATAACATCAAAACAATCAATCTCAGGTCTACGTCTTCAAATGGCAATTTTAAAAAAACTATTTTCTATTTCAAAACAGCATGTGGAATGTGCTACCTATCTCCTTTTTCTTCTCTAAATATGATGACAATAGATCCCTGATTCAAACTTATGCAAACATGACATTTTATCTTCCACGTCCTTCTAAGATCATCACAGTGTGCATGCAGTCAGAAAACAACATGGAATTATTTATTAAAATATTACATTCTCTCATGTATTAACTATTTATTTTGAAAGATTAATTAAAACTGCACAACTAGTAAACACTACAGGCAAAACATAGTTTAAGATCCCAGCAATTATTTACAGAAATAAGTCTTATTTAGTTGTATTAGTTACATTATTATTTACAGAGGTTCAGCTTTTGAGTCTTGTACCGTATGAAGACATCATATCTAAAGCTCACCTGAGTCCAATAGTCTAAGTGCACTGCAGTGGAGGCTGGTGGGAGGAGCGATATGAGGACGGGCTCATTGCAATGGCTGAAATGGAGCAAATGGAACTGAGTCGAACATGTTGTTTCCATGTGTTTGATACAGTTCCATTTATTCCATTCCAGCAATTACAATGAGCCCGTCCTCCTGTAGCTCCTCCCACCAGCTTCCACCGAAGTCCAGTACATGGCAACAGGGTCCATTATTTGAGTTACTTTGGAATCCGAGTATACATCAGGAGCTCTGGATGGCTGAAGACTTGGAACTGACAGTTATACAGGCCCAAATTCACCTAGAGTTGAGCTGCTGAATGACAAAGAAATGTCTGTGTAAATCACACTATTCTGATAGTCAGACATAGTGTTCTCTGCATCTCGCCACCCGAAACCCTTATCTATAATCCAGATCTCCCTCCATGGTGAGTTCATCCATCGCAGCCTCATCAAAAGATGTCTGTCTTTTTTACTGTGTTGACTGAATTTATCTTCTGCTCCACTCTGTCTGATTCATTGTACTCTGTCTCATGCATTATGCATTGAGGCTCCTTCCGGGTGGTTCTACTGGCAGGCGCAGGTCTCAACAGACATGTTGGGGTAAACCTTCAACACCATGTTCCGGCTGGGGTCCAGGAAGAGAACACTCAGAGAGCTCATCCTGTCCGGAACACAGCAGGGCTCCGGAATGCCGGGAACGATTCCCACCGCCCTCACAATGCTTTGGATGGTGGCATGGTTAGAGGGCCGGGCAACCTGGGAGCCAGAGAGGGAAAGAAGCTGGAGTTAAGAGGGATTCTCTTTCACAAGGGAGTATGATGATGACATCACATTTGGCTAGCATGTACACTATATACACAAAAGTATGTGGACACCCCTTCAAATTAGTGGATTTGGCTATTTCAGCCACAACCATTGCTGACAGGTGTATAAAATCTAGCACACAGCTATGCAATCTCCATAAACAAACATTGGCAGTAGAATGGCCTTACTGAAGAGCTCAGTGACTTTCAACGTGGCACCGTCATAGGATGCCACCTTTCCAACAAGTCAGTTCATCACATTTCTGCCCTGCTAGAGCTGCCCCGGTCAACTGTAAGTGCTGTTATTGTGAAGTGGAAACGTCTAGGAGCAACAACAGCTTAGCCGCGAAGTGGTAGGCCACACAAGCTCATAGAATGGGACCGCCGAGTGCTGAAGCGCATAAAAATCGTCTGTCCTCGGTTGCAACACTCATTATCAAGTTCCAAACTGCCTCTGGAAGCAACGTCAGCACAATAACTCTTTGTCGGGAGCTTCATGAAATGGGTTTCCATGGCCGAGCAGCCGCACACAAGCCTAAGATCACCATGCGCAATGCCAAGCGTCGGCTGGAGTGGTGTAAAGCTCGCCACCATTGGAATCTGGAGCAGTGGAAACGCGTTCTCTGGAGTGATGAATCACACTTCACCATCTGGCAGTCCGATGGACGAATCTGGGTTTGGTGGATGCCAGGAGAATGCTACCTTCCCCAATGCATATTGCCAACTGTAAAGTTTGGTGGAGGAGGAAAAATGGGATTGGGCTGTTTTTCATGGTTCGGGCTAGGCCCCTTAGTGAAGGGAAATCTTAACAATACAGCATACAATGACATTGTAGATGATTCTGTACTTCCAACTTTGTGGCAATAGTTTGGGGAAAGCCCTTTCCTGTTTCAGTATGACAATGCCCCTGTGCACAAAGCGAGGTCCATACAGAAATGGTTTGTCGAGATCGGTGTGGAAGAACTTGACTGGCCTGCACAGAGCCCTGACCTCAACCCCATCGAACATCTTTGGGATGAGTTGGAACGCATACTGCAAGCCAGGCCTAATCGCCCAACATCAGTGCCCGACCTCACTAATGCTCTTGTGGCTGAATGGAAGCAAGTCCCCACAGCAATGTTCCAACGTCTAGTGAAAAGCCTTCCCAGAAGAGTGTAGGCTGTTATAGCAGTGAAGGGGGGACCAACTCCATATTAATGCCCATGATTTTCGGAATGAGATGCAGGTGTCCACATACTTTTGGTCATGTAGTGTATTTAATCCAGCATGCTCTTCATCATCTGATCAATTAAAGCAATTTCAAGCATCTTTATTTACTAAATAAATACTACATGACACACTGAAGTAAAACCGTACGCTAACCTACCTTAGGAATAGGAAAACCGCATGTGCCTGCACAGTAGTAGGCATCAAAAGCTTTCGGGGCTAACACCCACTCGCTCCAGCCGATGTCTGCAAAGTCCACTCTCAGGTAGCGTCGGGCGCAGACCCTGGGCTCACTCCACTGTCTCCTGCGAGCCTTCTTCATGGTCCTCTCATCAAAGCTCAGCACCTGGGGCTTATTCAACCCCTCACTGCTCTCCTGGCCATGCTTTCGCCCATCTGTCATTGAGGGCTTGATCTTGGGAGCAAAATAAGTGCTCTCCCATAGCTCATGGCTCTTCAAGGTGTTGAACTGGACCTCAGGCAGGTCATTGTCCTCTATTTGGTCCAGGGGGGACAATGCTTCTCTTTTCAGCCTGGAGGCTGGAGGAGATTCGTTGGCCGACCGGGTGGGCTCCTCGCCCGAAGGGAAAGGCCCGTACCTCTGCAGGGTCATGGCCACGCTGTTGGGCTCAGATATGGCCATGTCGTTGGCATATGCCAGGACGTACGGTAGGATGGCTGGAGAATGGCGCTCCTGGTTCCTCTGGGGCCTCACCCCAAAGTCAAACTCTGCGGTGATGAGGAGCTCTCCCAGGATGCGGGCCTCTTTGACCACAGTGGAGACGTCCCTTGTCTGCCAGGACCCTCTCCTGGGAGGGGGCAGAGTGACGTTGCCCAGTGGGGAGCCGAAGGCAGAGTTTGGGGACGTTCCTCGGAAGAGGAGCTGGGACGGGGGATGCTGCTGGAGGTGCTGGATGCGACAGGAAGTGCTTCGGGAGCGCCGGCAGATCCAGGGTCGGTGGCGGGGACGCTGGTCCAGGAAGTGGAATGTGGCGGACAGGATGACCTCCGACTCCTGGATGGACGACAGGTTGAAATGGAACCACACACTGTTCTTGGATACTCCTGCAAAGAAAATAAAGACAAGACAATGGAAAGACGTGTGTGGTCGACAGCATTTTCAATTCTAAACATTATTTTTCAACGTAGCCTACTTTCAACAGTTTTTCTGCAAACTATAATGTCATAAAAACCATGAATGATTAGCTGTGGGTGAAATATTATCACATACAACAGGTTACAGTGCAACCATATGGTATGATAACAATCTGATTGCAATACACAACATTTGGATTACAATAAACAATCATCTTAATTTCATCCCTTGACTCCCACTGCTGTTTGAAAGATAAACATTGCCCCTGAAAAGGTCTTAGACATATGGAAATGCTTAGGAGCGCACCAGAAGAGTTTTCCATGTGCCTCTAATGGCGTCTGAGTCAGTGTCATAATCGGCTTTTGTCTAATATGTCATGGATATTAACAGTAGCCTATACTCTCTGATCACATTGAGCTTGAATCAAGTAGTGACAGGGCATGGGGTTGCTTATATTAAACACATTCAATAGCTCAACTTTATTTATTATTCACGTTTTGCTCTTGCAAAATGATGTTTATGTCACTTTGTACGGTTCCAACTGATATAGGCTACTGTATCTGCTGCATTCTACTTACAGCAGCCTGCCACTTCATATTAGGTTATGTGATATTATAGTGTCATGCAGTAACATATACACCTATAATAATAATAATAATACATTTTATGTAGCTGACGGCATTCGGGACACTCAAGGACATCTTACATTAAAAAGGCCTACATAAAATCTAGTGCAGTACATAAAATCATAAAATCAAGCGCATCAATCTATAGGGCAGGAGAACACTCACCTGGAATAGCCTTAAAACTTCTAACGGTATTTCCGTCTCGATGGCGTTGGGGCTCCTTACTGTACTTTTCATAGACTTTAAACATATTGATGGAGAGCATGTCCCGCCGTGCGCTTTCGCGCGAGGATGTGCCATCGGTAGTTCCGTGGATATCGCTGTCCTGCTGCGTAATTTCGGGTGGCTCCTCTGATAAAACTTCCACGATACCGGAATTTAAAAATAATAACAAATGCACCAGATGTAATAATATCTTCGCCATATTTTCTATTCAAAACGAGTTATTCCATCAACTACCGTCTTTCTTTAGTGTTTGAATGTGCCAAAATGTGAGAAAAGTCCTCCACAGCTCTCGGCAGTGTAATTCCAGGATTCGCTTGATTAGTTGTTTTTCTTTTTACTCATATGTAGATTGGAGTTCAAAGTTTAAAAAGTTAAGTCGTATGACAAGCACACTTCACAACTTATAGCTCCACACTTTCTTCTTACTACCAGAGAGACCAGGGGGTAGTCTACTGCTTTAGCAGTGACAGATGGTGACGCTTTGCAGCGCACAGCCAACGAGAGAGAGTCAAGCCCGCAGATCTCCCCCATTGTAGAATAACTGTATGTGCTGGCAGCTGTGAAATTTTAAGTGCTATAGATATTGCAAGTATGAAAACAGGAATTATATTATATTATTATTAAAGGTTTCCATACATCATTTTATAAAAACATTTACACTCTAAACCCAATTAATTAAATTAATTTTGACTGTGTAAACTATTAAGTCTATTTTGTTCCCTTCTAGATAACCATAGGCATGATGATCACATAATGACTGGGGCACAGGGCACTCCCTTGTAGTGCAGAGTTGCATGAAGAATTGATGTTTCGGTGACATGTCGATATGTAAAGACATGTCTCCCTTCCTGGTCTCTCCAGCCAACCATGCTCTTGTTTTTCTTCCATTTCATTCTTTTGTGGCCCCTCGGTCGGAGGACCCTGCTGGAGCCTCCTGGGTTTCTGGGGTCTTGATGTCAAGTTAACAGCAGTACAATGCAGACCCTGTGAGAGAGGTGGTGACAGCCTGGCTACTGGGGTCAGTGAGCCATTAAAATACCTTCTACTGGCCTGATGGGAATCACTGGGGCCTTTCACACCATGCTTTACATGTCCTGCAACAGTACTAAAGGCCCCTGCTCCTGAAGCACTCACTAAAGCAAGGATTGTCTTAAGGTTATCACTACATAGCCTAAGCACGATCATATCAGCCTCAGCTGTCATCATGTGTCGAGATCATGGTAGACCCTTCCCATCAGAGCCACCCATAATTGCCTTTGTAACAATGAGGTTGGAATAATGCTGTGAAATTGTAAAAAATTATGATAATGCCCTTTTAGTGTAAGAGCTGTTTTAAAAGACCGCCTGAAATGTCAGCCTATTTTGGTGGGATTAAGTTTTGACCTGCCTGGTGACATCACCAGGCGGTAAATTAGTTAACAGACCAATAAGAAAGAGAGTTCCAAACCTCTCTTCCAATAACAGCTAGTTTTCAGTTTTCCCCTACCCACTCAGACCACTCCCAGACAGTCCTAGCAAAATTCTTGCTTGAGAAACTATTTTAGTTTCTTTTTGACCATTTTAATTGAAAACAATCACAGTAAGGTACTTAATTGTTACCCAGAAATGATTTGATATTGAGATAAAAATGGCTGCATTGGACCTTTAACTGTTCATAATTTCAGACATAGCCTATAAACAGAGGCAGAACATTTTTTAATCGGTACAGCAGACACTGGCCAAGACAATGACCCCTCACACATAAGACCATTAAAAAAATGTCATCCCATATGACATCATGCGTGTATGAATCACCTCTGGTAGAGAGATGAAGTAGAGGGACAGAAGAAATATGGTTTGATTCACAGAATATCTGCCTGGGGCGCTCATCAAGGAGTGAAAGACAGCGAGTCCGCCATGTTGCTTTTGGCCGGACACCAATCTCCCCTCGACTTGTTTTCTTACTGCTGGCTAGGACTAAATGACCACTCTGACTGATTTGGTCATGGATGTCCGAGGGCCATGAAAACCCCTCCATTACTCATCTGATCCCTGCCAAGATGACCATGTGTGATCACACAGACCCTCACCAGACTGGGTCCTCTGCCATACCTCCCTCATGGACACTCAGAGAGAAGAGTTCACATCAATGTCCTCCTTCTGAGAAAAACAGACAGGAAGACAGACAGCCTTCCTCTCCCAGAGAGATATCCGGAACAGCTCCTGCATTTGCATAGCAGCGCATTTAGCCATTAATGCCAACAGAAGATGGAATGCCTCCTGGAAAGGAAATGTTATGACAAATTTACGGCCCAAATCTCAGCAAATTGCAGGGTTTACGGGTAGAAATGACATCCGAGTGGGACTGGGGTAGTTTATCCCCCCACACACCACCTGGGCTGCTTTCTGACAGAATGATCACATCAGGGTTTATTTCTGCAGGCCTTGTCTCGTCCAGCAGCGCCAGTCGGACGTCTGATTTCTGAATAGAGGCCTGACCCAGTGCCACGGCCTGTCGGAGCTCCACATGAAAAGTGAGTGATTTATCATTGGGGTTCAGACATTTGGGTTGAGTAACAAAGGTAAAGAGCTGCTCTCAGCAGTGCGAGCAGCGCTAGCTGAGCGGTGCAGCTCCTCTCCTGAGACCCACTACATCTGCAGAAACTCAACCCACGGACGGAGCCAGCAATCAACAAGATGGATTTCACCTCAGACGTTCGCCTCAAGTGACCCAATTAGAAAAATACTTTTGTGTGTTATTATTACTGCAAGAAATCATTATAGATACAAAATTAGACTTGAGATATATTCTCGGACCACTTATGAATACTACCAAAGTTATCTTTGCCTCAGTAAGGAGCGCTGGAGTTTTTTTCTCCCTCTGCTGTAGATGGGGGAAATCCCTTAGCACTAAGGCAGAGAAAGAAACCATATACTCTTGAATCAAAGTTACATCCACTCATTAGATGCTTTTATTTCTTCAGCTCATTTTCTTCAAATCCCAAAGTAAACCTTTAAGCCTCTGTATACAGTCTGCAGTATATCTGCCAAGACACTTACAACTAATACAATAAAACACAAACACTTACACAATTGACCCTATGAACTCTTACCATTGCACTCATGCACACAATCAACTGAGATGGACCGTTCTCGATTTCTTATGACGCTATGTCAAGTTATTATCAATTGATGATCACTTTCCTGAACGTGAACTCATTGCTTTGATTACTTAAAGCAAGTTTTAATTGACTTGTTGGTAATTCCTCATGCGAGATGCCTATCTGAAAACAAGCAAGCCAGATGTGTTTGGGCACTGTTGAGAAATGGACAATGCTATTGAGTTACAACCATTATTCACTTTTGGAGGCTTCTGTTTGGACGACATGGTGAGTTTGACTGAGAAACAGCTGCATCTGCTTCAGGCAGGGGGAATGAGCCACGCCAACGGCCGAGTCGCTCTATGGCCCCTCTTTTGTTTATGCCTACGATGAGTTGCGGAAAGCGTGATTGGTCATAGAGCGTTGTATTCTATCCACATGGTTATCAATCACTTCAAGGGCTCCCAAACAGGGAGGCCATTTTCCCATAATCATTCAGTCAGTGAGACCATTGCGCTCCACTTTAATGCACCAAATGGACTGACGACTGGCACAGCTCTCTCCCCTCCCGTCCACACCGTTTCGTTCAACTGTCTATAAATCACTCCGTAATGCTGTGACTTTGGCCCTGCGCAACTGTGATTGATGAGATTTGCCCTTAAGCCCTTTTTTCATCTAGTCTACGTGTCATATATCAGTGCTCAGACGCAAATTATTCGTATGAAGTGTGTAACTTACCAGCCAGATTTGAAGTTGTGCCCCTCCACCCCCTTTTTTCATGAGAGAGAATGGAATTAACTTGGTGTATTTCAGACAGACTTTTCTGGCCAAGCATATTGTTTTCCTTGGCCTCACACAGTAAGTCTGCCATTGTGGGCCTTTTTTCATGTCTATAAATATATATTTTTAATTGATCCATGTGGGAACACTTGATTTTAACCAGGATTTAAGAGGATGCTATACTGTGTTAGGGGCCCGGATTTGCTACCCGTATTCTCATAGTGCTTTGATGAAATATGCAGTAAGATCGATAATCACGTTATTTGCCAAATTGCTCATTAAAGAAACTCCAAAGCTCTAGAGAAAGTAACACTTAGTTGAAGTCTAGTGACAAACAGCACAGGAGAGATGAGAAAAGGTTAGCGTGGGGTGTAGATCTACTTTTTGAGAGAGAGAGAGAGAGAGAGAGAGAGAGAGAGAGAGAGAGAGAGACAGAGAGAGAGAGAGAGAGACAGTGAGAGAGAGACAGTGAGAGAGTCATCTAGCATCCACACCAACCAACCAGTCATCTATCACCCACACCAACCAGCCAGTAATCTATCACCCACATCAACCAGCCAGTCATCTAGCATCCACACCAACCAACCAGTCATCTATCACCCACACCAACCAACCAGTCATCTATCACCCACACCAACCAGCCAGTCATCTATCACCCACACAAACCAACCAGTCATCTATCACCCACACCAACCAGCCAGTAATATATCACCCACACCAACCAGCTAGTCATCTATCACCCACACCAACCAGCCAGTAATATATCACCCACACCAACCAGCTAGTCATCTATCACCCACACCAACCAGCCAGTAATATATCACCCACACCAACCAGCCAGTCATCTATCACCCACACCAACCAGCCAGTAATATATCACCCACACCAACCAGCTAGTCATCTATCACCCACACCAACCAGCCAGTTATCTATCACCCACACCAACCAGCCAGTCATCTATCACCCACACCAACCAGCCAGTCATCTATCACCCACACCAACCAGCCAGTAATCTATCACCCACACCAACCAGCCAGTAATCTATCACCCACACCAACCAGCCAGTCATCTATTACCCACACCAACCAGCCAGTAATATATCACCCACACCAACCAGCCAGTCATCTATCACCCACACCAACCAGCCAGTCATTCATCACCCACACCAACCAGCTAGTCATCTATCACCCACACCAACCAGCCAGTAATATATCACCCACACCAACCAGCCAGTCATCTATCACCCACACCAACCAGCCAGTCATCTATCACCCACACCAACCAGCTAGTCATCTATCACCCACACCAACCAGCCAGTTATCTATCACCCACACCAACCAGCCAGTCATCTATCACCCACACCAACCAGCCAGTCATCTATCACCCACACCAACCAGCCAGTAATCTATCACCCACACCAACCAGCCAGTCATCTATCACCCACACCAACCAGCCAGTCATCTATCACCCACACCAACCAGCCAGTCATCTATCACCCACACCAACCAACCAGTCATCTATCACCCACACCAACCAGCCAGTCATCTATCACCCACACCAACCAGCCAGTCAT